CTGCTGTATAAATTAAATTAATATTAGATTACTAACCAAGCTAATTCTATGATGCAAAAGAAAAGGTTACTAATGAAAACATTAAATCAATATAGACTAGGTTTTTTTTGTTGGATTGCGGCCAAGCCTCGATTTATAGCGTCACAGTGAACTGTCACTTGAATATTGACAGTTGCACTCCGAATGCGCCGACGCAGACGTCTTTCATCACATGACGCCCGCATTGAATCGCGTCGGCAACAATGAGCGTCAGCTATACCTTTTTTGTTGTCAATTCAGCGATGTGCAGTTTGTTATCGATGACTCAGAATAAAACCCTATTTTAGGATTCTCAGTACATTACATATTTGGGCAGCATTGCATTGTTATTAGGTGACTGCACAAGAACTATACTGTTTATGTATTAACCTAAGTTAAATTAACTACTACATATTCTTACCACTATAAAAAAAATTAACGAAATTAATCGAAAATATATCAAACACATGAGGTTCTATACTAAAAGCACTGAATATTCAATAACAAACTGACAAGTCAGGTCTGCAAGGATCGGCTAGTTTCTGCAATTATTGTGATGGTTCGTGGCCACGGCTGCTGATGCATACGAAACGTCAGTGTCAATGTTAAAATCAATTATTGAATAAATTTCTCGTTTTAAACCGATATTTTATTGAAATAAACTGCACCTGCATGTGGGCAAATATTACGTAGGTAATACTAGCCGTTATAACTTCCGAATGTTTTCACAACATTCCTCTAATCCGATATTTTACGTCGACCCGACACTTTGACAGTAGCAAGTAGCGCGTGAAATATTTGCAAAGCGAATAATACTAATGTAACGTAAACGTTGTATTCTCGCTGGAGGCTAAAACGGGCTTCTAAAACTACCTTTGATAATAGCATCAACGCATCACCACTATTCGTCATTAAAGATGATTTCCTTGTAAATGTGATGTCAGAGGATAAAAACGATAGTCACGAACGCGAATCACGACGCGGATGAGCCGAGCAACGTTCCGATTAATTAAAATGTCTCAAAATAACCTTAAATGCTTGAAGAGGCTTAACCTTACATTGACTTTGGTAGAACGGAGCGTACTTTTTGTTATTTTTACGTAAAACAACTGATACGCTGGCTTGGTTTCTGGCCTCGGTGTTCTTGTTGGGAGAGGTACTTTATTCCGTATTACATAGAACAAATAAAGTGCAAACTAGTCTAAAAAGGTCGCTACGTCGGACTTCGTTGCGGTAAACAATTTTTATAAAAATAAAAGGAAATTGGCATGAGTGAAGCAATGTTAAAATTGTCTTTATCCGAAACAACGATAACTTTTATTTAGTCAGTTTAAGAAATATTTCGAATCAGTTAAAACCCCAAGGGCAAGTAATATTGGAGTAATATAAGACGAAGTGCAACAGGTTTCAGAAGAAAAATAGGTCCGTTGATCATTAGCCATACATTGCTTCCATTCCACCAAAGAGTTGGTGAAAACGTTACGTGTCACCAAGCTTAAATCATGAACTCTTGGGCATTTATGCGAAGTGACAGTTATTATGATAAATAATCCGTGTTACAAAAAGGTGTTCGAGTTCCAAAAGTAACATAGTAAGGACAATAGTGTAATCTGTAAAGGCTAAGCTGCAACTCAGTAGTCAAGTCACGTCATCCAAGGATGTCACGTACAGGTCATAACATGTTGATGGTGACGAGACCGCGGCGAGACAGGAAAGACAAACGAACAACGCTTTGTTTCTTACCACTATTAAGATGAAACATTTAAAGTCAAACCTACTTGCGAAGCTGGGGTTGAGATGAAACAAAATTTTCTATGCGAAAGTAGGTAATGGGAATTCTCACCCAAACAGAAAAAGTAGTAAATCGATTATCTGCGTAGGATAGTGGTTAAACGCCTTGGTTCCTAACGAGACGTCCTAGGTACGAAATCAGCGGAAACAATCATTGTGTTGATCAGACTGGATGCAGAGGTCTGATCGACTACATCATTGAACAAAATTGATCAGTAAAACGGACACAGAAATATATTTGCCCCTTGCACCATAGGGGGAAACGGGATTTCGCTTTTAAACTTCAACATTGCTACCATATAATTTATATGTGGAAAATTACCTTGAACGAAAAATATAAATAATTTTATGTCATATATTTAGTGATTACTCCTAGATACATGTTTTGAATAACCCCACTTACATTTGCATAAAAAATTTAAGCGTAATCAAATAATGTTGGTTTTTATGCTACTATAGAAAAATCAAACAAATGTTCAAACGTAAATTGTACATTTATATTTTATTTATGCGAAGTGACTATATATAAAAGCTTTTAAAATAACACATCAAACAGTACGTTTATAAAGTATATAGCGTCGTAGACATATGATAAAAGTTACATTATTAAAAACATATTCGTAAAGTAAAAAAATTAAACTAAAAGCTTCGTTTTAAATTTTATGTAATGACATTTCATACCAGATAAGGGATGATATATCGATTAATTTATCGAGTAATTCTGAAACAAACACGTAGATTAAAAATAATTGCCATCTTTATTTAAGCCGGCTAAAAAGGATTAAAACAGTAAACAAGGCAATTAAAATGGATTCCTTAATTGAAGATCGATGATTAAAGACCAATCTATCATCGATACTGGTTTTGACCATTATAGTTCAGGTTGTGCAGGCACTTAATTCTAGATCAAAGTAAGTTACCAAGGTGAAGAGATTTCCTGTTTGGGTGCTATTAAAGTTTTTGTTAATACCGACATATTTTTATGTACTCTTAGTACGACACTCAATTGATTGGCACTGTGGCCAGTTATAAAAGTCGAGTGTTTGTTTCTTGAACAAACATCAGCAACTGTCTGTCCGATTTGAAATTTTTTCTTTAGTTTCTTACACTAAATTTACGAACAGTAACAGAGGAGCATTAATTATCTTATATTTTAAAATTTCCCATTCAGTTTTTTTTTTTTTTTTAAATTGGTTTGCATTTAACCAATTTTCATAGTGTATATTGGTCTTATTAGTGTCAGACTTAATTCTTCATACTATTTTATATATATATTGTTGCTTCAATTTACATGCATTAATTATTTCTAAATCGTTTTTAAGATAAACCTTTCTGTCTCTCACGATAGATTGTAATCTGGTGTTCCAGTTGTATTTCTTGAATCTAGTAATATTTATACTAGATGTAAAACAGCGGAAACCGTTATTACCGACACTAGTATTCCGAATTAGTATAGATTGACCAGTGACAAAGGCGCCCATTAAATAATACAATCTCATACATTTTTGGTCATAACTAACTGCCTTTGTTTATATGAATGCACAATACGTAATACCGTGAAATTCTATTATAATAAATGACGATTTCTCAGCGTGATTATGTCGAGGCATTGAAAATTCTGAGAGCCGGCTCAACTAGTTAACTTTGTCTTAATGGGGTTTTTAGCTCCCTTAAATTATGTTGCTCGTTACGATGGTATTATGGTGTTTATAATTAAGCAGGTAACGGTATTTTACCGGCTGCGCAAAAAATATTTTATACTATGTACCTACTGGATTGAGCAGAATTTCCTCTTTTTTCTTGAGTATTTACTTTTGGTGGTGTGAAATACAATTTTATTTAACTATTAATTCATTGTACCGTGGTTGGACAAATAAGAGTGTAAAAGAGCTAATGTTACTGATAGCTTATTTTCTGTGAACGTATTAGTGTTCCTGAAGTAATCAAATAAAATCATTATTTCAATTCTTACATAGTAACATTTAAGACAATCCTCCAATCAAAAATTTATTGATATAGGTACCATTAACTAAGCCAAAAATAAAAAAAAGAAACACCTAAAGCATCTTTTTATACCAATAAAAGTAATTGTTAAACCGGATAGCAGTCTGCAGTAGACGATTAAAATTCTTCAACCTTATTGAGAAGATTATACAAGATCTGCGGAGTAATTATACGCCTTAATAACTCGTGAGATATTTGTAAAATTGATGGTAGAATTACATCAACGATCGATGTGTTTGTTAGGAATCTTGGTACATATCTTAAATTAAATTATAATTATATTCCCTTCCAAGGCTTGCTGCAGTTGCTGCTTGAAATAAGCTGTTTTTTTAGCTAAAGGCATATTCGGCTTTGACTATTGTCAAACGTTGGTAGATGCTAAAAAAAGTTCAAACAAGTCCGACAATTTACGGTTGGCTTTGAACTCGTAATGTGACTTACTACTTTTTATTTGTAGCATAACTAACTATGGTTTCAGAGTATAATAAAGCAAAATCAAGCTGTCAAAAAAATCTTTAATCCAAGACAATATTTTTCTTGGATTAGAGATAAGCATATAATATTTAATTTATATCTTTAATCTGAGTACACATATCTTAATAGATCTACCATTCAGTTTATATAAAACTAAGATAAAAACTATAATTGCGGTGATCACGAAGATTATAAACTTAAAAAAAATGTCAAGGCAAGTCGCTGTCAGCCGTCATAGAACATGTAAAGTCTTATGTAAGCGTCGACGTATAAAATAGGAGCTAAATTAATTTAGTTAGGTTTAGTCTCAGTGTTTTGGAATGTTACAAAAAAAATTAGTAAAATTACCAGTGTATAATTTGAACTCGAACTCGCACTAAGATAAACTGATAATTGGTTAACGATGGCTGAAATACAACTGGTGACCTTTCAGTGTATACAACCAGATTGAACCTAATTGTGGAGAACATGTAATTTTCAAATTATTGTTTTGTATTTTCTATCATATTATATATTAGGTGCTTACAAGCAAGAGTATGCTGAACCTTTACATACAACTCTGACTGTTCTAATTACCTACCGATTCTATAATGATCACATCAGCCCTCATGTCTTTACACTTTAGAATGAAGGTGCACCCGTGACTTAATTAATTACTCTCATATGTTTGTTATGAGCACTTGAGTTAAATGTGTTCCCTTTCCGTGTTTCAGGCGATGCGCGGCTTGTGTGCGCGGTGGGGAGCGTGTGGGCGCGCGCGCTCGCGCTACCTCGCCGCGCTGCTCGCCTGGTGCGCTCTCGCTGCCGTCGCGCTGCCCAGATTGCGCGCCCCAGGAACTGACTCCCCGACACACACACCGGCGGGACGCGCGCATCCCCCGGCGCGGCTACTACTGCAAAGCGAGCCGGCCGCCAGCACGCCCGCCCCGGCGTCGCTTCCGCCTTCGCTCTCCGCTCTGCCCGCCACGGACACGCGTGTGCTCACAGAGGAGGAACTACGAGCGGACGCCGAGCGACGCCTCCCCTCTCTGCCCCTTACATATTGGCACAAACACAAAGATGACAAGAACAAGTTCTACAAGAAGAAAGACTGTGCGCCCTTCCCCTCGATATACGATATCGAATTCCACAACACGTACTGGCAGACGTTGCGCGCTAAGGGCGAGGTCTTTCACCTGTATGGGGCGTACATGGACGCCCGTAACGCGTCCCGCATCGGGCCGGCCGTACGCATTCTAGCCGTGCATGACCGCATCAAGCCGACACTGGCGACCCACTGCCAGCTCTGGTTCGAAGAGCGCGACGCGCCAGTCGTCGTTCGCAACCTCGAGTACAAGTACGTGTGGAACAGCAAGTGGGGCAACTACCGGGATGGTGTTCTGCAGCCGTACCTGCTCGCTTGCGTGCTGCCCGCTGAGGTGCGACACTTGACGCCCGCCTCCGTGTCCATCGTGTCGAATCCATGCGACCGCGCTACAAATAATTTGCGCGTACACAACGACCGACCTCCGACGCCGGCAGACCGGCAAGACTTCGCCGTCTGCGTCAAAGGGCTCGATTTCCTCCACGAGGATCTCTCCGTCCGTCTGGTCGAGTGGATAGAGCTTATACGTCTGCTCGGCGCTCATAAGATTTTTTTCTACGAGTTGCAAGTGCATCCCAACATCACTAAGGTTCTGGACTATTACAGCGCACTCGGGGTGACCGAAGTGACGCCTATAACGCTCCCAGGCGGACAGCCTAATCTGCCCGGCCTCCAGCACATGTATCTTAAGAAGAAGACGACACACAAACGTCAGATGGAGCTGATTCCCTACAATGATTGTCTGTACCGGCACATGTATCGGTACCGCTGGCTCGCGCTGCTCGATATCGACGAAGTGATCGTCCCGCTGCAAGACAGAGACTGGGGATCGCTCATGCGGCGCATTTTACCTCTCTCTACGCCGGCGCAAGGCAAGCCGCCGCGTAGCTCCTACCACGCGTCTAACTTGTACTTCCTTGATTCTCTGCAGCACGAACACTCGTGGGAGGAGGGCGTACCGCGCTATTTGCATATGCTGCAGCACGTATATAGAACACGTAACTTTACGAAGCCAGGCCAATACGTGAAGGCGTTCCACGAGACTGAGAGAGTGCTGGCTCTACATAATCACTTTCCGCTAGCGTGCCTCGGTGGCGCCTGCAGTTCCTACGCGTTGGACACGAACCACGCCCGCCTGCAGCACTATCGCGCCGACTGCGTCACTGCCCTGAGCAAGACTTGTGCGGAGTTGCGAGCGCAACCCGTACGCGACACTGCGCTGTGGCGCTGGCGCGAGCCGCTGGCCGAGCGTGCCACGGCTGCGCTTGCAGCACTCGGCTTCCTACCCCCGCATCGGTGACCGCCTGCTACTCACATTCTACGCTTAGTCTATTATTATACCTAATATTCAAGTCTAGTTATTAAATGTATTTTTATAGTTATTATTTGTGGTTTCAATCATCAAAAAATCCTTATGTGACTTATGTACATTAGATACTTCTAGTTATAATTTTTGCACACGCAAAAATAATGATAAATTAATTTTTGTTTCTACGGAGAAAACATCTTACTTAAGAAATTTCGTTTTTAGCGATTGGTAAATAAAAACAAATATGTTACTCATGTACTAACACAACACAAGGTAATATTAAACAGAAGAAAATTATGAACATATATTCAGCAATTAAAACTGAACAGCGCTCTTCACTTACCTTGCAGATCAAAAATTCGTAAAACGGTAGATCGGGTGGACAGCGCAATAAATTATCATTCTTTTACCAAGATCATGAAAGCAGATATTAAAAATAAACGACGTTACCAATCCATTTTTCATTTCTGTCGGTACTATTTAGTAGGTACTTATTTTTTATCTTAGCAAAGTTTTCGAAAATGAACTTTGTGCACAGAAAATTTTCAGACAAATAATGTTACGTGTATTTACAAGACAACAATTCACTCTTAGTCAAAATCTATAGTTTATCATATAATTATTATGAAGCAAACGAAGGAATCATAATAAATATGTTACCTATACCTATAAATAGGCATGTACAGCTTCATCCTTAGGCCTTAATTATTAACAAAATAATGTTTCGTTAACTTCTTCCAAAAATGCTAAATCTTAGCTTCCTAGATTAATTTAAATAATTTAAATGAATATTGTATTCGATTGAGGGAAAATTAGACAGTTACAGAGAACATAGAAACTGTCAGGGTCAAAACAGATTACTGTTGAAAGCTTCAGATGAAACTAGAATTAAAAATATAACTCTTCATTTATCAAACAATTAAAATTTTGTCTCAAATAGAATAACTTGAGGTGTTACTTATACTAATAACGCCGTCATCGCAAAAGAAGCTTAGTAACTTAATGATTATTATTTATATTATTATTACGCGGAATAATAATATTTAAGAACCGTTTAGTAATAAACTGATTTGTCATAAAGAGGAGACTTTTTAAATTACATACAATTAAGTAATCCCTTCTCATAAGCTACTTGTAAATTAATAGAATACTAAAACTATGCAACTCGTTACAACTGCGGTAAGGGTACTGTGTAAGGCATTTATCTCTATTTGGGCCCCGGCCGAAGAAAAATACATAGTAATGTTGGAACGAATTCAAAACAAATTTGTTAGGCATTTGTACCAAATAATGTATGTATATCCATTTTATCCTTTAATGTATCCGACTCTTTTTATATTAGGCATGGTCGGGTACAATCAATTGAAGGGACTTATTTCGTGTTATATGTCTGGTTAAGGATTACGGGGTCGAGAGTTGAACCCAGGAGTTCTACAGTCCTTACAGTTGTCTGTTCCGGTCCGATAGGTGTGAAAGCGATTACTTTACTTCCGCTACCGTATTCACGCACCAACTTCGTGATGAAATCGCCTCTTGTTCGTGCTATGCGGTTTCAACAAGCTGCAGGAGGAATCGACATTTTTACGTGGGTAAATTGACAAAAACATCACTCCAAGAAATATGTATGTAATTCTATCGCAATGGATATTATTGTCATTTCTAAATAATGCATCAAAAATTTACGCCTGTAATTTTTTTGTCGGCAAAGAACATTTTCGTAAACTTTGCTTATTCTAAAATGAATGTGTGTAATTTTCGGTGTACGTTAACAACGTTTTTGAATATAAATAACAGTGAGACGACGCGAGACCGCGGCTGCTACAAAGCATCCGAAACGTCGGGCCATAGTTAAAATAACTTTCAAATAAGTTTAACTAATATACAAAACTACGGACTGTTAAATACCGTTTCTGTATGTTTTAAAACCTGATAGAGGGCCATCATAATTTGTTATTGTTATAACATACATTTAGGAAGCTCATAAGGAATGTCATTGTCCGCTTGGCTTAGTCTAACGATAATTGACGCGATTAGATACAACCAACATAAAGGAAGCAACAAATACTTTTAAGCAGACGCTATCATGAGTAAACCAGAAAATAACTAATAGTGTAAAGTTTATTATAATGCTTTAATTGAAAGACGAAAAGAACTCGAACTTTGGCGATCCGTGCTGCTGCTACGGAGCCATGTTTTTATGTGTGTATTTCGAAGATTTTTTTTTTTCAATTCGTACCATTAACGTAAGAACAACAAACTTTCAGGATTGAAAAAAATACTACTCCTGTTTATGTAAGATTTTTTCATTAAAATTTAAAACTAGGAGGTTGATTTCCCTAACTACATGATCTATGGTCATCAGGTCTGTTTTCATAATATAAACAATTAATTTCAACCTACGACTTTCAATTCCTGTGAATCGGTCAGGCCAAAGTTTGTGGTTACGAGTTAGCTATACTTGGAGCCTAAACAACGTTACTAAAATAAATGGTCAATCATATCATAACTATATGAAACACTTAAAAACAAAGAATACTAATATTAACAAGTAAAAATATATCTTCATTGTTAACCAGCTTATTTCCCAACTTATTAGTAGTAATAAAGATCTGGTATATGAATTAATATTTAACATTTGGTTTCAATATGTATTCCATTGTTAAAAACATTAAAGAATAAACACCTAAGTTAGTAAAGAAATTCGGCAGTAATACTTCAAACTCGTTAAGCTAAATCTTGAAGGAACAAATAAAACAGGCCAATAAAGTTAATAGCTATTTAATAAACATTGTGCAGGTGGGGGATCGGTGGGGACCTACTGCTTGTTAGCTGCTTCGTGCAACTTTTGTTGGACCTGTTCAGCCTGCTTGACGAAGTCGTCGTACGCCTTCTTGATCTGAGGCTCCAACTTCTTGTTCGTCTCTTCCACGTTCGCTGACACTTGTTGAGCGAGTTTCTTGCTCTCTTCCAAGGTGTTCTGTACAGCGCTCTGCAGCTTATCCTTAAGGGCTTTGGCCTGCTCTTCTACTTCGGGGTGAGACTTCTTCAGGTCCTCTACTGTCTTCTCGATGTTGGAGCGTGTTGTTTCGAGCGCCTCCTTTGCCTTTCCATTTGCTTCAGAGAGCTGAAATAATATTGGTTTTTTTAATGAACAATGTGTGTCACAATGGACACTCCTTCTTTTAAACCTTCTCTATCACTTATGGTCTCAGACAGAGTTAATCATATCGGGCGAAAATTACATATTACTAAAAGATACATAAAGGCCCTAAACACTGCTTTATCACAAATTAATAAAAGTGATGTAAGTTCGCAGTTATAATCAGTGGTTTCGGCCACTATCGAAGTTTCGTCGATCCTTGACCCAAGAGGTCAATGTCGATAGGCGAATCGCTCTGACCTACGGAAAAAGCAGATAACATGACATAGAGACGTGGCGATTGTGACTCACAGCTTTCTGTAGAGACGCTGAGAAGTCCGAGAGCTGCTTGAGGACGGAGTCAGAGCCCTCCTTCAGGGCTTTGTTGAATTCCTGTGCGTTCTTAGAGCTAGTGAGGGAGGTAAGTTGTTCGCTGAAGGTGTTGCCAAATTCCTGAGCGTGTTTCTGGAGCTCCTGCAGTGGGGTCTCGGCTTCGCGGCGTACCATGTGTGCGCCTAATGCGCCGGTCTGCAAATCATCAGAAAATTTGGAATAGTTTTTGGACGAAAAATCTATGTGTTGGCAGGTGCAGTTTAAAGATGTTATAAAAATTTGTAGGATCCAGCTTTATAACAGACTAAACGTTATATGCAAGCTATGAAGACGAGGACCTCAAGATTGGAATTTAGAAGCTTAGCATTGGGTTAAAAATGAGGGCAGTATATGGAAACTCACCAAAGCGACGCAGAAGAAAATTAGAGCGATTCTGTGTGCCATCTTGTCTTTGTTGCCGTGTGTTGTCCGCTGTGAAGGTCACTAGCTGAATGATCTGTGCCGGGTATCGGCGCGCGCGTCGTATTTAAGGAGACCAGAGCCGAGGGGTAGGGGCGGAGGGCGCAGATAACGGTTGCGGGAGAAATTTTCCTGAATAACACAGTGCCCTGTGCCCTGTTTACACTCGCCGGTAATTAGGTAATTGCTTGTTTATTTGTTCGAAGAGTCTGATGCTTTACACTGCAAGGACATCACTCTAGTACAACGTGGATTTTGTTTAAAAAAATAATGGATACGGTAACTTAAGTCAAACAGCAAGCGTGAAGATTTAAGAGGTGAACATATGTTTCAAAACGAAAGAAGCACTTCTCTCTTTTGCTCAGCTATTTTGGTGTAGGTAGAAGACATATATATATATACTACGTGTTGCCTAGCAACAGTGGTCTCCCTGCGTTTGAATCTCGGGGAAACAGAAGTGCGTCTTCCACACAAGAAATACGATTTTTAACCATCTTAGCTGTTAGCTTGGGTAGACGATAAGGAAAATAACATAAATACAGAGTAGTAGATAATTTATGTATAATTATCTATACTTTTTTAGATTTTTAAGTCTGGAAATACTCTCTACATAAAGACAGGTTTATTTTCTGGGGAAGATAAGGATTTTCAATTATTCTTATATCTTAATAAGCATTTCATGCAAAATTGCCGGAATGTGTTATGGTGTATTCTATCTTTTATGACGAGCGAGAACGAAGAAATATCTATAGGTTCATTTAATTGAAGGTGAAATACTTGAGCCATGTTACATCTAAGCAATATGTGCTGTTGACCTATTTTGTGTTTGGACTTTCAGAAATTCACAGACTGACACCGAAATACGGAATTACATTTCAGGCGTTTAATCACTAAACAGAATTTTCCAACGAAGTCTTACTAACATTAGTTATGTTTCAGAAATGTTAAACTTAGTGGGAGTCGATCTCGTTGATAATTAAGTTTTGTCTGTAGTTTACGAGAGTAATGGTTTTATTCGCGAAATACATTAGCTAATTTATTTTAGCTACGATCCTTAACTACTAGATACTTAATAAAATAAATAGTAAATTAATTAACCAATAAATATCGCGTTTTAAACCGTTATATTGATTTATTTAAATCAATGATTATTAGCCATACATGTCTACCTTTGGTCGCATAACATATTAACTACGCATTATTAGGACGTTCGTGACCTTATCGAAAAATAGGTGATTTTCGCAGCTGTGTGAAACAGCGAACTGTGAACCGGAAGCGTTGATAACGATCCAATGATTAGAATCGCTAATTGTTGACCATTTGCTCGTCAACAAGCTTTATCGTGGTGGATTGCTGTCATTATTGTAAACAAACCCCTCTTAACCGCAATTCGATCATTAAAGACAACGTTGATACTTTGTACTCTACTTAAGATACATTTTACAGTCTGTGATTCAGTTTAGTGTCAAGGTCTTAGATAACAAAACTTTCTTATGTATATACAATAACTGCGCCCTAGTTAAACGTTTGATGTCCTGGGTTCAAATAGCAAGCACAGAAGTCCGATTAAAAGCTTCTTAAATAAATAAACGCGAAGTAACGAGATCGTATACGTAAATTGGCGGTATTATTTACGGACAGACGGCCATCTTATCATTAGATTTCGTCTGAAAAAGTTTAATGCCTTATTGGTTATTGCGTTTCATAACAGCATCTAAGCGACTTTTTATCACAATTAATCATTATTTTTACTTACGAGTCAAAATGGATGCTTAGTAGTTCCTCCTCGTTCCTTCTATTCGGCTGGTGGTCACTCTTTAACTGACTACACGAATCTGTTCAACAAAAGGTATGGATGCTATTGTCACTTAAATGGTATACCTACGCGGTGTACATGCAAAGCCATGTATACTAGCAGTGCAAGTTATAATTTTGTTATTGTTAACCGTTTGTATTACAATTTTCAACTAACATCTCATTGTTAAGAGCTAGCAGGAAGTGCTATTGTTATAATACGTTTCAGAGAAAACTATAATAAAATATATAATGGCTTCGTCATTGCCTTAATAGAAAAAATGATCGTGTAATTTTCGCTGGGGTTCGAACCTGACATTCGTATCGACTACACATCTAACTCGTTTATCTTAACAGGCCTGTTTCGATGTGTTGTCGATACGAGTGGTTAAATGATACCTAGACTGTATGTTTACTAAAAAATCAGGAAACTTTACGCTAACGAAGACATCTCAATAATTTAAGATATTCTTCTTCGTCCGCAGACTTCTATCTGCTTGGACTTCAGCCAATCAATGAAATGGACACTGAAATATGTCCGCATGCACCATGGGGAAACGGGATTAGACAATAGCTACGTTTTAAAGAAGTAAAATTATTATAGATAATTCATCACCATCTTACCACACGATAGTCATTTTCGCGCAGGTTACCAAAGTTGCTTTGCCATATAAAACATTACTAAATCTTACCAAACGACAAATTATCAGTTATCGAGCGAGATGAAAACTGATTAGATTACTAAAACAACTATTATAAAAAAAGAGTCGGCGATGATGAAAATTTAGGGTTATATGTTTCTTTCAATGCTACATTACAAAAAATACTCTCACTTAGAGGTATAAAAAATAGATAGTAAAGAATTCATAGAAATATGCATATAAAATGTAAATAACGGTCGAGCCGTTTCAGTTTATTTTAGAATTTAAGAATAATAGAGATAGTAATTCGAAGGAAATAAGCATTATAATATAGTGATAATAAAAGTTAGGTCAAACTACACATGTACATGTTTGCATAGTTTGTTGAGTCCACAGTCCTCTGTTGTTACGTTATTGCTCATTCAATGAGTGCTACAATAGGTTCCTGGTCAGTGTCCTTGCATAGCCTTATAATGGCTCCTATATTTAGCTTTCAATGAATACCATACATAACCCTAATAAATCGTCAAATATAGTACAATATTCAACAGTGTGCCAGCGGCTTTATCCGCGTAGAATAATTATTTCGAGCGTCAAAATTTGTTTTTGCAAATTGATAACATAAACATTCATTCTCGCAGACATTTTTAATCATTTAATCAAAGTGAAATACACATTTTTTGGGTATCTTGAGCCATTTTTGCAGCGCACGCGACGCAAAATCTAAAAAAATTACAATTTTCCTCGAGAGTTACACATTTTCCACCGCTTTGCTTTCAGTGGTCGCATCGTTATGTTTTATAGTTATAGCCATATAAACTTTCCGCGATAAATGCTCAAACCAACCCAAATATATTTTTTCAATTCGAACCGGTACTTCCTGAGATTAGCGCTATCAAACAAACAAACTCTTCGGCTTTATAATATTAGAATAGATATTGCAAATGTTTTAGTCTACTATTTACATATACTTAGCTATAATTTTTAACCAACGGTTAGGTCTTCAATCTTTAAAAAGAACAAACGTAAAAATTCTCCAAGTACTTCTGCCGCTTTTTATAACATGTAACTACATTCTTGTAATTATTATCAATTTATATTAATTACCTTTTTATATTTAAATGTAAAATTGTAAAGAAAGATTGTACTACAATTGATGTTACTAATGACGAATTGTAATTCTTCCTTTATTCAGTTTGTAGTAATATTCCTCAAAATATCTTGTTTATCCTCTAATTAATTTAAGCATGGTAGTATCTAGTGTAATCAGTTCATTAGCAGTTGTTATTGACAGCAATGGAAACATGGGACGAAAGAACATTAATTTAGCATTAAAATATTAATGAATGTTCGTAAATTAATCATATACATTATAATTTAATACTGTCTACAGTTTACGCGAGTAGTACACATTTAAATAAAACACTTTAACGGTTTAAAACGCGCTATATTAGTTAAATTCTGCCCGACCTCGACGTGTCGGATGCTTTGCAGCAGCCGTGGTCACGAGGAGACCGAAGTTAAAAATCATTTTATTAACTAATATATCGCGTTTTAAACGGTTAAAGTGTTTTATTTAAATGTGTTCTACTAGCGTAAACTATAGACAGTATCATCGACTTCCACATTATCTTCCGCTTCGCTATCTGATAAGTCTTCCGAAGGACTTTTATTCTCTTCTTCCTCCAACAATAGGCGTGATATACTTTCATCAGTCAATAATCGTCTCGACGACATGATAAACTGCAAGTAAAAAAAAAGCTACCTGTAAAGAAACTTACACAAACCCTAACTATTCGTCGAAATGACGATTATTTTCGTAATATTTCGAAAAGTAGTATACTTTCACGTCGAACCCGGCTACCTCTTCCTCTTCTTCTAAAAAAAAGTACAATTTCTGTCGTGTACTCGTCGATTCGACGAAGGTTAGGTGTCTAGGGTTTTTAAAAGATGTGAATAAGTTTTTTAAATATCTTAGCTCTCTGCTTTTTAGGCATAGTGTTAAAACTATGACTCAGTTAAAAAAAAACACTTTTCAAATTAACATGTTTTATTTAATTATTATATTTAAAACATTAAATCTCAGCAATCGTAAAATAAATGACTAAAACATAATTACAGAATAAACAATTCAGCCGTTCAAACTTTTGAAATTATAACAAAGTATTAAGGCAAGTTTTAAATAGAGCCATTTTAAACATTTGAGAAGTTCAACAGAACAGTGCTTCGCACTTGCAATATCAATACAATTTAAATTCGTGTAAAAAATATAAAGCTTTATAAATTTCTATTTAGAATGAATTTCACTTAATATTATTATGTGGCCTTACAAATAATAGCTGCCTTTAAAATAATTCATTGGAAGCTGTAAATAAATTCTAAAATTTGCAGTCGCTTATTGAAATACGTACGGTATTCCAACAAAAGTTGTCTACGTCAAATTGAGAATAAGCCGTAGAATTTAAGTAAGTAAGTTAGGCCAATAAAAAATTGTTACTTTGTTTTAAATAGCGACATATTTTAATAACCGACTCCGACTAAGTTCTATGGCACTCGCAGAGGAACTCTTTGTAGAGAACTGTCAGGTGAGGCTTAGGAAGTAGAAAGCGAGCAGCGCCGTCGCATACACCGCCCCGCTAAGCGCTGCTATTACGCGCACCGCAGTCCGCTGTATGTCATCCCCCCCTTCCAAATAGAAGTCAGCCGCGTCTGCTACGCTCGCGTCCCCCGCCTCCACCGCCTCGTAGGCCACCGTACTCGCCTCGTACAGGGTGCCTTCGCCCTCCTCTAAGTCGATTGGCGAGTAGGCGACACTGCTACGACTTGACGCCAGAGACTCACTCTCAGCTAAAGCGAATTCCGGACGCGGCGGTGTTTTCTCTATCGTGAAATCGGACAAGGGCGGGCGAAGACGCGGACGTCGCGTCGGACGGCCCACCGCAACACTCATGAACCCCGATGCCTGCCTATAGTTTACTTCGAGACATCTGCTCCGGTACGCCCCGAGAAGCTGAGCATCATAGTCGTGCGGCAACCCGAACACCGGTGGCAGGTCGCGTCGTCGCCTGCGCAAGGGCAGATATAAGGCCCGCGGCGGGACCGGTTCCCGAGACGTTAAGTTTAACAGAACGGCTGAAATACGCGGAGGCCATCTTCGGTCCTCTACTAGAGGCACGTGATGCTCCTTTGCCCCAGGACGGATCCGCAGCGGCAGGCCGTATCTGAAGTATCGGTCGCTGTACACTACCGTGGAGAGCACCCCTTGGATAGATCGCGGGGGTGCCCGCCTTCTACGGGCCACTAATCGACGCAAAGACGCACGGCGACGTGGGGGCACACATTCATAGGGCTCCGCATACAGTCGGGACGAGTGGGGCGCATGGCGCAGGCGACGAGGGCGGGAGCGTCAGTCCGAGGGCAACGGGCGAGAGCGTCGGGATTGCTCCACCTCATACAGCGCTTCCAACACACAAGCCGAACTCCAAGCCTGCGTGCGGCACGAATCGCGGCAAAAGGCGCCTCCCGCGTTGGTTAGTTCAGGCAGACCGCGCCACGGCGAGTCGCGGATCTCGGCCACGTGCGGTCCCAACGTAGAATACACCGCGGCGAGGGTGCGCGCGTGTGCACCGTTGTGGTGCGCGAAGGCTAACCGAGCGCGCAAGTAGAACCCGAGAGGCCAGAGCCACTCCGGCCCCTGATGGTAGTTGAAACCATGCGCCACGCTCGGGTCGGTGCTGTCGTTGGAGTTGTCGTAGTCGCCGCGATAGGCCCAATCCGCCGGATCGAGAGTCTTGACGCCCAACGGGCCGAGAAGGAGCCGCTCCACATTGTCGAGCGCCATCCAGGCGTGTTTGGGATCGAAGAGATCCGGCGCTACCGCCATCGCCACCGGGAAGTTACAGCGCAGTTGGTAGTCTGCCCAGGGCTGCGAAGCACCGTGAGAGTCCTTGTAAATAGCTCGCCGGTGGACGAGGTCCGGCCGCGCATCCGCCGCCGAGGGTACAGGAGGGATCCAGAAGTGGCGCTCGAACGACCGACGAATGCGCTCAGCCCACTGCGCGAAAGTCCAGGCGGTGAGCGTGCCGTCACGATGGCGCCGCGCCACGCCTGGGTACGGGTACCGGCCGGCGCGGTGCTGCGCAGCTAGCCAGGTGACAGTGCTGTAGGAGAGCGCAACTAGCTCTATGGCGCTACCGTCCCGAGGAGTGGCGGGGCGGCCGCGCGTTCCCGCCGCCTCAGAGGAGCCCATTTTGTCCATCCAAGTTCCGCAGTTAGCCTCGTTTCCACCGAACGGGAATCCCGTTTCCGGGTCGACTCCAATCTGGACGTTGAAGCCGCGGTCCGACATGTGCGCATCGATTTGACGGCCGGCGTTGCGTTCTCGGAAGACAAGTCCTTGGAAGTGGGTGTCCAGTGCCTCCTGCATTACGTCGTGCAGCGGTTGCTCCGATGGCGCCCCCTCGGCGGGGAAGAGGCGCGCGACAGGATCGGCGAGCAACGTAGTACACTGCTGCGCATCGCAGTACTGCTGAATGCTGTAGAGCCACCACCAAACAGCATCTCTGCAGTTGTAGCGGGCGTTGCGACCGCCGTCGAGCAGATTCGGTATAAGTCCGTGACGTAGACACGCGGCGAAGCCAAGAATGTGAGAACGCGCTGCGGTATGGCGTCCGGTAAGTAGGTAGAGGCCTCGTAAAGCTATAAAGGTGTCGCGGCCCCAGCACCGCATGTACCCCACGGTGAAGTGGGGCAGTCCAGCTGACATCGACCCGATCTCACTCGCCTCACCTAGGACCAGGCGCGGCGACAGCGCAGGGAGCGGCGCAGATTTTAACTATAATACAATGAACATAAATTAGGTCTATTCTGTGGAAAGGTTTCCGAATACAATGTGAAATGTTATTAGCAGACCACATACATAATTTGCTAAAATTGAAATAAATAACAAGGAATACCTAAGTTGACCTCAATAAAATAAATATTTGGATAGGAATGAGAACGTATAGCTAAAAAAATACGAGATAATATATAACTATGAAACGTTACCTGCGCTGTCAACTGAAGACTCGTAAGCGCCAGATTGCGGGCAAACGAACCCGTCAGAGGAACACGCAGTTTAGCCAGTGCCGCCGTTTGTACTGTTGTGTACAACACGTTGACAACTGCGGCGAAGTAAGCTGGTATCAAAAAGCGCGGCAGCTGAGTCACCGGACGTAACGCTTCACGATATCGCTCCGCCACCAATGCCAACCGCGCACTACTCTCCAACCTCCGCCACTGGTACTCCAACAACCAATCGCCGGCCCTCAAGTTATCGCAGATCGCATGGCCTAGCGAATCAGAGCGCACGATGGGTTCTAAGGACGACACGATACCCTGTAGACCTGCGTACACCAGCGCCCCGTGTCCGGGCACCTCGTACGTGCCCCCGGAGGTGCGTTCGCGTTCTTCAGCGTCGCAGCAGAAAAGCAGAGTGTTAAAGTCGACCGGGTGAAGATCGGTTAGAGCCGGTGCTAACCGGAGCGGGTCAGCGGTGGGGCAAGTTCGTAGAACCCGCGATAACGTCGCCAAGGCTGCCGCGTGGGGTCCGGCCGGGGCTACGCGCACCACGGCAATGCTCCCAGGCTCTAAAGCGCGCCACTCCAGCACCGTGTGCGCACCCTCGCGTCTCTCGACTGCGAACACCCGAGACTGCGCCACGGGCACGTCGCGAGCCACCTCCACTGCGTACTCCTTTAATCCGTTGATGTATTCCGGGTGGCGAATATGTTCTCCAGGTGGCTCGTATGGCCGCCCGCTATCAGCGTGTTTCTTGTGACGTAAACGGGCTTCGAGGGCGATCTCACTCAGCTGTCCCTCGAAACGTAGGGGGCGCAACTGACGCGGTCCAGCGGAGGGATTCGGTGAACGGAACGCAGTGTACGCTACCAGGATCACAGACTGAAAATGAAAACGGGCGAATCACACAGTTATTATTATAAAAAAAAACTGTTCGACTTTGCTCAGTTGCAGTTATAGTTTAATATTGTCAGTGACTTAGACTTAAAATTTATTTAATAATGCTATTTTGTTAATAAGAAGACATTTATAAATACATATATGACGGGACATAATCCACGTATGTTTGTCATAACACTTACCTTACGCGAAACTGGGTGGTGCCTGGTAACTGCAACTACATCTTCATCCATCTGATCAACAAAAACTTCAGTGTATCCATCGGTTGCCATCTGCCTGTGCAACTGGTTAAGAGCCAATCGCGCAGCCAGTAACCCATCTTCTACCTTGACAGACGCTTCTGGGGGTTCATCTCCATCAGCCCAGGCCGGGTAGAGGCGTTCTTCATCCACCACGTGTATGTGGTGTGGTACCAGGTCATCATAACCACGTGTGGAGCCTGTGGCACAAGCGGCGAACGCGACTAGGGCTGCAGACGGCAGCAAGTCGAAGAGTGACCTTGAGTAGAATAAATTAAGAACTGATATTATGAATAATGATATTAAAGAATAAACAAACGCGGTCTGCATTATATAGTGCTGGGTAGTAGTAGTAGAGAGTGATGGATAGTTTGTCTGTATAATTATTAAAATTAAGTTAAGTGATGGCGAGTGTCTTTCGATTTCTACTGATAGATAGCTTACTTCAGGTAGTATAATAATACTTACCTCTTGCTGACAGGTGATGGATTGTCATGAGTCTGATCAAGCAGCATCGCATGCGCAACGGAAGGCACGGCTGGGACAATGGCGTAGCGGGGTGGGTTAAGGAAAGCGCCCACCGGTCTGCCGCCATAACGATAAACTAGTCTGCCTTGCTCATGGGCGTCCCACGCGCTTAACGCTTCACGGACCAAGGAGGTTATTCCGAGCCGATTGACGAAGATATTGTCGACTTGAGCTGAATTGGTAAATAGTTCTGCTACTACATATAGCTCGGGCTTCACTGCGCGTGCGCAGTCCACCATGTACTCAGCAACCTGAAAACATTTGGGTGATTGTAGTACATAATTTTTTCAATAGTGAAGCTATATGACTATGTTTCACGGAATGTATTTGTAATGAAATTTGTATTAAACGGTAAACTCTGATTTTAATTTTCTACTCAGATTACAAAATATAATATGATTGACGGTATTTGTGTTTGTCCACAACGGGTGGAACTAATGCAAATGGCTTTTTTTTCGTTATTGTTTTCAAATACATGACGCAGATGGAGTCCCTAGTACCCACACTAGGGCAAGCCTGTGTCGTGGGTGACTAGTCTCTTCGAAGTTACAAACATAATAAAAAATATCTAAACTGACATATCTTCTTACAATTAGTGTCTATTTGAGTGGGGGTGAAATTATATTGCAAATACGAAATTTTACAATATTATGTAGCTTCAAATATTAATGTAAAACGAAATGGTATTTTTAAAACAAAAAACCAAAAACATTGTTTTTTGTTGTCGGTGGCCATTTTGAGTCCGGAACACATACAAAACTACATGTACATACATGGAGTGGTGTAGAGTGACAATTGTCGAGACGAAGACCATCAAACAGAGTAGCCGTGAGCTGCACGTAGTCGCGCATGTGCGCCCATAGCCATGGGCTGTCCGCTGGTCGTGCACCGAACCGCAGCTTGACGCTGTCCCCCCACGCCACTAGCTCGCGCCGGAGGTAGACCCGGGCGTCTTGGGACTTTGCAGCGAAATCTTGCAATGGGTCGGCACCCATTACCCACCCGTTGTGAGCCATAACCAGCCTACCTGAAATCAAAGACAGTTTCACATCATTTACAGAATATTTAATCTGTGGAAAAAATTAAGGTTGATTTAGTCTTTTGTCAATACAAACTTACATAAACATGCGCGCACGCACCTACACTCATTAAATTTATTCAAGAGTTTTTTTAATAAACAAAATACGCATTTTTTTCGGTCATCATCGTTATTATCTTGATCCGCATTTTCATTGTTTTTCTTATAAAAATTACGTTTTTTTTCCACTTGAAAGTTCTTAAATTAGGAGTTTCTTTGCCTGTTAATATATGTATGACGTCACAATACACACGTTAAACGGTACGAGTAACTACGCGGTGAAATTTTAATAAAACATTTTAACGGTTTAAAACGCCATACTACCACCGCGATATCAGACCAGTCTCCCCGTGACCACGGCTGCTGCAAAGCATCCGAAACGTCGGGCCACAGTTAAAAATATTTTCAAAAAAATTTAATTAATTAAATGTGGTAACCGTTAAAATGTTTTATTTAAATCTGTACTGCTCCCGTAAACTAGAGACAGTATTTACGCTGGGAAATAAAATGAAAATATCAGAATCCAGCGTGAATTTTGGAATACGGCAAGTGCTTACCCATATCGCCGTAAATGTAAGCCTCGACTTCTGCGATATCATCGAGCTTTTCCGGCAAAGTGAAGTAGCAAGGAACGAGGGGGTGACGGACGCTGACTTCGCGTACACGCGGCCCGTCGCTTTGTAAACGTTCGTATCTGTAAAGAAATTATTAAATAAAAAATCTTTTACCGACGTCGTTCCACTGTTGTTTTTAAAATATTTCCAAATTATTTCGTTTTTTATAATCGATGAACGTAATAATTGCTTATCTTTTATAGAAATGTTTTGCGAGCGCCCCTAGCGGTTTACCGAAGAACTAAATGTTTTGTTAGGCAAGCATATAGGAAACACGCGCATGTAGCCGCATTCATATTATTTTTCTATAATAGAGAAGAATAAACATACATGGTTCACTTAATCAAAGGTAAAATAGTCCGGTAACATAACATCTTAACATGATGCACTGCCGACCTATTTTGGCTTTTGGATGTTCGAAAATCTAGACTGAAACCGAAACGCGATTAAAATTCACGGCTTTTTTACGTGTGTTCATAATTGTGATATAGAAGTGTGACAGTATGACTAGATTGACTACCATTGACCAAATTTCCAGATTATTAAGCCTGTAAAAATATCGATGGAACTATTTAGAAAAAAAAAACTTACTGCATGCCCGCGAGGCAGTTATCAAGGGCATTACGGAGATGATCTTGCATAGCAGTTAGAGCAGCAGAATTCAACTCCTCCAATCGTGCTTTGAAAGCCGCTCCACAGCGAACGACACGTTCTTCTTCCTCTTGACAATCGGACCTGTCAAAATTATAGAGGTTTAAATTTAAAAATTACACGTTAAAAACATTCCGTACTATTATAATAATACAGCTTTATTATTATGGAACAAATTTAATTTTATGTTTTTAACATCATTCAAACTACTTATAGTTAATCAAATTTATAAAAAGAAATGAGAGAATTGTAACAAAATAAATAAAAAAAAACAATATTCTATTTATTTATACGCAACAACGACCAGTATAATATGTTGTTAATTTTTTATTTGCTTGCTTGTGGATTGAGACCTCAAATAAAATACTTACACTAAGTAGTGTTTTAATATTATATTCTTAATTATTGGTGCTCCATGATCACCTGTAAACATTGTAGATCTGCTGAGCCAACTCCATGTCGACAGTGGCTGCGAGACGACGACGGAGTGGGTCTAACTCAAGACGAAGCTCGGAAGCGCTGGGAGCACTACTCGCACCTGGAACCCTGGAAGGTATACCGATGATACAAACTGCGACATTAATTCTTGAAACTTTTTTTTTACAAGCTATGCACATGATGGCACTATATAAATTAAAAATCGACTTAATTATTTATGTTCTCTCGGAATTGAACCCGAAACTTCTAAAATTTGTATTTACTTCGTCCTACATTATTTTATTATACTATATTATGTTTTAATTTAAATGTTGTCGTTTGTGTGTTGTTTCTGAATAAATTTCTACTTCTATAACCATATTATACAACAGACACCAAAATAAGCACGCATTTGTTACAATATACTAGCAGAAGAAAACTTCTCGATACCTGCTGGCAGCCACTTGCAAGAAGCGACGATGCAACTGCTCCACATCGCACGAATACATCTCGTGAAGTCGTAACCCGGCCACTTCTGGTTCAAAGGCTTGGCGCACCGCCTGAACTTGCTCGTGGGTGCACACCTCTGCTGGTATAGCTGGAGCGAGCAGACCAGTGCCCACGCGGGCTGAAAACCTGGCTAGTGCCGCATCTAATAGGGCAGCGGGACGCAAATGGGGACATTCTGCACAATTGTAAGTTGCCTCAGGATGGTCTGCGAGCCAGGGGGTTTCGTTCGCCGTGTGGTTTAGTACCACGTCGCATATGCCCAGCATCTGTTTGATTCATACATAAACATCATACTTTTAATATAATCATAGACAATGTTTGTGATTACATTTACTTAACTTGACCACACAAGGACTTAAAAAAATTCACGAATTTCATTGAACCTTATCAAATCAGGTTTTGGTTAAAGTAATTATACTTTCATTAGATTATAATAATCCTAATACAAAAACTATTAGTTCTTAAATAGCTTAGTTAACATATTTATTAGTAGTTACTTAGTAGACAGTTTTATTCGTTTTAATAATAATAATGATTCAGTAGCAATTTTTATTATATAATTTAATATAATTTGCTAAATATGTTTAGATGCTATTGTACTACAGATATCTTAGTACAAAACACGTGATCCGATTTTTATAAACTGAATATACTAGACTACCCTCAAAAATAAATGTGTGGGTACTTATTTTACAGCAAGTACCTTCCAATCGTTGTGCATCTTTGAAATCAGCTTTTCGAGGTCAGCGAAAGTCGCCGTTCGACCAGTGGAGGGGTCATTGAAACGTGGATTCAGTTTCATTTGGTCTGCAATGCTGTAGCTCGACCGAGACGCCCCCAACTCCTGTTTGCAAAAACTTTTAAATTTAAGAAGTTGATTACTTTTTTCACGTAATATGTTTAAACTCTATTTGTATGTTATGTCTCCATATTTACATAGCTCATGCACCCTTTATAGTGTAGAGTACCTGAACTGGAGTAAAATGTATCATATTGTAACCAGACTCGTGTGCAACTCGCAAAGTACGTTCCCAACGGGCCAATGGACCCAAGCATTTGGTGAGGACAGTCTGACACATCAAGCCATCCAAAGGCAGCTCGCAACCTCCAGCAGACAGAGTGGGGTTTACGGCGAACCATCCTGAGCCCTGGGGACCTACACGGGATTCCCTGTAAAGCAAAAATTTATGTACGATTAGTTTCCATTTTCAACAAATTATTATAGATAGAGGCTTTGTTTAAATAAAACACTTAAACGGTTTAAAACGCGAAATATATTAGTTAAACTAATTTTAACTACAGCCTGACATTTCAAAAACTTTACAGCAACTGTGGTCAGGGGGAGACTAAACTGGAGGGTGCCACTAATGTTAGTAAAGACTGCTACGCTAGCGTCATCTGTACCGTCGTAGTTGGTATTTGGCGAAACTGGCTTGGTCCTTGCAGAATTGATTAACGGTGTCCTAGCGTTTACTAGTATGCTGTTTTTTGGAATCTAGTTTTTAATATGAGATCGCAGGTGTGTGATAACTTGAGGCCGTCTTCTGTATAGAATTTTTGTGTTTCCTAATTTCACATAAAATTTTCAAACCGTTTAAGTGTTTCATTTAAATCTGTACTACTCGCATAAACTACAGACAGTATTTAGATCTTTCTTACTAAATGTGCAATGTGTAAAGGATGTTATTTACTTGTAGTACTAGTTAATGACGTAATAGCTTACATGATTTTTATTGTAGAACAGTTACTTACGGACTATCATAAACGAAATAGTAATGAAAAGAGCCAGCCCGCTCCAAACGCAACTCGCAAAATGCATCCGTATCGGTCACGAGTAACCCAGTACCCAGGTTTTCAGTCAGACTCGCTTCGCCTGAATTCGACTCAACTGTAGTACGACACCATTCCAGTAAATAATACTGGTTGCGGTCGAATTCTATCAGGTCAGTTTTCTCTGCTGGCAATGCTATAAATTACAAATACATTATCTGTGAAACTGGGCCCTTCGTAGAGTAATATATTTGAACCCATTATACGAACCTTTATCGATAACAATATAATTTGTGTATAGATACACTTTGCGTCCCATCAGACTGGGTCCAGGTGAAAAACGGATGTTACATCCTTTATCGAACCTAAAAATATAAAACCATTTAATTTTGTATACGCAATTTTATTATTGCTTATAGCTTTAGACTTGAGCCTTATGTGATAAATAACAAGACATAATGGCTACCTATATGTACTATAATAAAATAGCCATTTAGATATTGCTTTAAATTCTTTACAATATACATCTATAAAGTTTTGGCGAACGTCGTTATTTATATTTAGCGGTTAATTCTACCCTCAACGTTTTATAATTAGTAATGTATTCAAATTTAAAAAAGAATTGAAAAAAAACGGTGATGTTCTCTAACCAAATTTTTCAATTTAAATTCGATTTGTAATTTATCATGTGTTCTCAAATATTTGCTATTTTTAACACGTAATATAGCACTTTCTTCTTACCGATATAACGTGGAGTCTTGGTGCTCGCCGTGGTTGAGCTCGAGGCGCCGTACATCGCTGCGTTTCTCCTGCGCTGGAGCCTCTTCATCAGGCCTTAGCTCCATATCTCCCTCCTGGAACAAACCGTCAGTCAGCCGACGCGGCGGCGTATGGGCACGCGCCGACGACCACTCGCCACTATATAACTACCCTCGAAACCACATCCATCGGGATCCTGTTACATGCTTTGTCTGTTAAAGTATAATAGAGGGGCTGAAGCGTAACGCTTTTGTCTGTGATCAGTGCCTCACTGGAAGTATTTCTGGGGGGCGATTCTCAAGTGACATATGATTTTATTTAAGACATAAGAATAGATCGCACGTTGCAGACAAACGTATTATTTAAATATCATTGATTTTGAATTGCCCCCCGGCTTTATCTTTGTAATAACGATATGCGGCCTGCTATTCAATTGTCAAACGCATTTATTACAACTACGTACTAAGCTTGAAAGACCGTGGTTTCGAACGAATCGCAGGAAACAATAGCATCGGTTCACGGCAAAAATTAAAACGAACGTTGAAACGAAACGAAACGTGTAAATAAATTGGTTCAGAAAAACTGAAGGAAACGGGATTCCACATTATTCACAATACGTACACTGTGTTCCCCATTAAAATAGACAAGTACATGTTAACAAAGTAGACAGGATTTAACCTACTTTTTGTCTGAAAGAGTCATTTAATTTGTGTAGGATGGCTTAAAAAGGCAGGATTTAGTCGGATTAAGCATTTTATTTATACCGTGATAATATGATTTAATTTTAGCTTTTACTTTTATGATGTAACTTGATTTTAAGGTCAAATCAAGGTCGTTAAAGGTCATCGAACTTGTTTATCGTACCCTCACTAAAATGAGTAAATTGTGTAAAAATAATAATGTTTCATATTGTATAAAACCTATTTATATATACGCTATAAAACCATAAGAATCAATGTGACTATTTTTAAGGCACACCTAAGTTTAATTTTAAATGAATCAGCAAAAAGATCTTTATATTTTAGCATTAAAAGCATTGTAAAAAAATATGAATGTTAGTTATCATAGAAAAAAATGTCTTACTTTTAAACATTTGTATTTTCTTGTTAAGCAACAAATTATCATCATTTTTCTTGAGTCAATATTGTGGACACTATACAACAAACAACATGCTGATACTAGTAATAGCTACACATTAAAACAATAACCAGAACAAAGAAGCATTAAAAAGTCATAAAGAATGAAAGAAAAAAATCATTATGATCGTAAATACTATATCATATATCATGAAAGCCTGTTTTTTCTTAACATCATCAATTCACTTGTAATTGTTTCCGTAGGTAAAGTGCATTTATTTGTCCTTCAGTAGTTTAAATTCAAACATATTATAGAATGAATCAATCTTTCTTAACCTTTCTGTTTCTTTTGTGTACTATGTAAAATTTTTCTAATAACATCTGCTCTTATTAGCAATTTCATATAAAGTCAATTTAATACAAAGGTTTAGAAAAAAATCGTTAAGTATAATAATATTAAAACTATTAAATTTTAAACACTATAACTTTGCTCTCTCAAGCCACATTAAATATGTTTCCAGTTGCTATCCCAAATGTAGATAAAACCACATCAACACAATGTGAAGCAGTGTGTGTCTTAGCTGTTAAACCCTTTCTTTTATAAGAGAGATGACCTTTGCCAAACAGGATGATTATTAGGAGTTAAAACAAACAAAACTTGTATTTATGTTAGTTTTCATTCCTATAAATAATTACTAAATAATAATATGTTAACACAACACCTAGCAGCATAAAATGACTTTGAAAATATTATTTATAATAACATATAAATTGACAGATAGTTAAGATAATATGGCCTACTTATTAAGTAACTATAAATAAATAGAATCAATACTAATAAGAATAAGTATTAATATTTTAGTTAATGATTAGTAAAGCAACCCAATTCACCTTTAGCAATGTTATTTATAAACGTGCAATATATTTATATTAAATAAGGAACGAAAACCAAAAACATCGAATTTATTGTAAACAATTATCTTATCATTCATTTATCCATCAATCCATTTTAACTTACAGAAAGGATAGTCATCGTTAAAAGAGAACATCAATTTCTTCGTGAACCTATTTCAGTAGTGTAAATAATTTCGATATAGCGTATTATAAAGAAAGAATTGAGGTTTCACTAATAAGTAAACTTTATTCAATTGATAGCATAAAATCGTATTTCCCTCCCATGTTGAACTGTATTTGACAAGGTTCACCTTGAAACGACCTTTAGTGAAAAGTTTGACAACTTTGTTTTGACAACATATAACAGATAATACAAAATTTTCAAATATTTCTGTGACCTAAAACGCTATAAATTGTGTGGTAATAGGAAATTTAAGATAATCGGAGCTAAAAAAACAAAAATTTATGAGCAAAAGTTTATTTTCTCTAAAAATATAATATATTTCTTATCATATCAAGGTAGAGCTACCTTTTGGCTTGTTTATGTATAAACATAACTCAAACACTTAGTTTACGCGAGTAGTACACATTTAAATAAAACACTTAACGGTTTAAAACGCGACATAATGGTCTCCCGTGACCACGGCTCTGCAAAGCATCCGAAACGCGGGCCGAAGTTAAAAATCATTTTCAAATAAGTTTAACTAATATATCGCGTTTTAAACCGTTAAAGTGTTTTATTTAAATTGTCAGAACAATTATACTATGTATTTATAAGTCATAGCATCTTAAGACTAACTTATAAGCAAAGTAATAGTATCCGTGTTCAGTGCTCAAACTTAGATATGTTTTTCTTGAGAGACACAATCTTGCAATAAGCTATGACACAAAATATCTAATACCAATGTATTTAGATAAACATAATTAAGTAATTTAAAAATTAAACAATGTTTCTGCTATGGCTTTCTCAGAATCCCAAGTGGGTGCTTCTGGATTATGTTTCATCCTCTTTGCTTTAACAGGTGTGTCATCTATACTTTCACTATGCTTGCGTTTCTTTTTCTTCTTGCTGGGAAGCACTTCTTCCGTCTTAATTTCCTCTACTAAACTTTGCTCCTGTGACTGGTGCTTATTCTTTTTGTGTTTCTTTTTCTTCTTAGTCACAGGAGTAACATTATCTTCCTCATTATAACATGCATCATTGTGTAACCTTTGCACTATATCAGTGGGTAATTTGATAGATTTTTTATAATTCACACCAAATAACGGATGACGACATTTTGTTTCAGGAAGCGGTATAAAGTTTCTTTGATTATTAACCATTGTCTCATTCTCTGGTATGTGGAGTCTGGGTACTTTATTTTTAATGACAATACATCCATTTGCTTTTATGCTTTTAATTACTGATTCAGTTTTGTTATAAAATGTCATGACTGATAATTGACACAAACTACTTTCTATTGTGCTTAGGTAAGCTTTACCATCTATTTTTAGTTTTGTTTTGTCATTCATTTTCACACACACACCTTTTAAGTTTAATATGTCAATATCACGAGGACATTTTAGAAGCCATATATCATCATTATTAGTGATTATGGAGTCAGGTTTAGATTTAGATGATACTGGCTGCAAATAAGGGTTGTTCTTGAGGTACTTTCGTATTTGTTTTGAGTTTACTTTTTCGCTTTCTGTATATTCTGTACTGTGATTAAGATCTATACTGCTTACATCTTCTTCAAAATGTAATGTAGTTGAAATGTTAGTAACATTGCAACTTTGATTAGAATGTTTGGTATTATTATGTGACTGTTTATCACTCGCATAACCATTTTCCAAGACTTTGATTTCAGCATCACTGCTATGTGTTATATCATTTTGAGAATTTTCAGCAATACTACAGTCTTCACTATAAGATGCTTTACGCTTTTTCTTCTTTTTAGGTTTATGGTGCCTAATATTTTCGTCTGACTCAAAATTAATAGGAGCATTCATTTTGCTAGTTTCATTATCTTTTACTTTATCTTCTTTACTTAAGTTTACAGAGTCTACATCCATTTCATCAATTTTCGGTGATTTAATAGTAATGTCTGTGTCACTAGTCTCTCTCTCTGACCGACGTTTCTTTTTGTTTTTTTTTCTCTTACCATTTTCAACAATAGTTGACTCTTCTTCTTTTATTCTCAAGTTAAGATAGCTCTCATCATATGTATCGATTTTGTTTGGACTAAGTATTCCCTTGGTTTCAGTTTTAATTGTATGCTTTGAATCACTTTCAGATTCTTCCTTAACAAAATTATCTAAACACTTTATATCTTTATTGTTTTTCTTTTTTTTTGATTTTTTACTTTTATCAAGGTCTTTTTTTGAAAAGCTTTGCTCTGTATCTAATTCGTCAACTTCCATCTTAACTGGCGACTCTCGCTTCCTGGAATAGTACAAAAATGGGGCACAAATTAACTCAAGTATAAAACATCAATTAAATCTGAAGCAATGGAATATATTTTATAAAACAATTTTGATAAAGTTGCCAGTCAACAGTAGCATGGTAGTTAACCATGTTGTTATTTGTAGCTCACTTTTAACTTAATTTTAATTAATTTTAGCCCTTTCAAGTTTTGAATATTTTTATGACGCCTACAAAACAGTTTCAATACTTACATATTCTCGTTGTCACTCATACTTTTACTATCATCTGAAGCACTTCCCCACACAAAGCTATCGTCATCGTTAGAGGACATGATAACATCTCATTTCAGCAAAATACTGAATATTATACAATAATTTTAATGTATCTTACATTCTTTCTACTTTTTATTATAACCGTTTAAAAAACATAAAATTTTATTAAGAGCCTATGTTATTGTATTTTAAATAATATATTATAACCACGAAAAGTATGCTTTGCGGTCCAATATAACCTCAAATTTAAGTTAATGTCATTTTTTTTTAATAATATTTAATGGCCTGGTAACAAGACCTTTAAGCCAAGTCTTATTTTGACTTCACACTTTTCTTCTTATATAGTCCCTATAGTGTTTTTAATGTATTTGTATAACGCACTATAACACTTTTTGTTTTTAAGTAAATTACACAACTGGCGGCGGGAGGTTTCACTAGCTTCTATAATATCACTTGCCAATATAAGTCTATGAAAAATAAACATAGGGTTTTGACACTTAAAAAATATGTGTTCGATGTCTCCTTCTTCGTCACAGTAGTTGCAAATATTGCTATTTATTATATTGAACCTCGCAAGATGTGCGGGTGCGGCATTGTGACCAAATCTCAATCTGTTAATTGTAGTGATAAATGTAAGCATTGATTATCAATGTAACTCCAGATTAAATTTATAAATTTGACAATTGACAGTACGGTTGGGAAGTTTTGCAATATCAACCATTCTCTTTAATGATCGATGTTAAATAGCAATAGCAACTAAGGAAATGAATGTTTAGGGCATTTAAATAATTAAATGCATAATTTTGAATTAAACTTTGTTGTATACTATTGCAAGAAACGAATTAAACAGATGTACTTTCTATACGTTACGACGTTCTCATCGTGACGTGCATTATACAAAAAAGTGATATTTTTAATGAAAAGATATAAATAGTTTTTGTCATATTTTTAGAGAGATTAGAATTTTTATTACGGATCCTAACTTTTGCGTAGTCTGCGATTGGGTGACATCTGGGAATGTCTGTTGGAATGACATCTGTCTTTATAACATTTTTATACTGTGGAATCGAGTGACAGATATTGTGATTGACTTTTAAATTTGACGTTCTTTTTAAAAATAATTTGTGTCCATCATGGTGAGTTTAAAGCTACAGTGTTAATAAATCCATTTATATCCACATTAAAATTATAATAATGCCCTTTTTCACTTCGCCTATGAAGTAAATATCGATCTCAAATTATTGTGACGGTTGTATTTCTATGATTTCTTGTCGTTACTTGTTGAAAAATGGTTATACTGTATTTGTTTATTGGGAACCCAAGTAATCGTGTTTTGGAGACGTGTTCTCCTACATATGAAATAAATAGTGCAAATATAAACAGCTACATTCACTGTAGTATGCCGGAGTTACAATACAAGCCCTTAAAGTGTGGAATTAAATGGTATCATTATGTTTAGGCTCGTGGACCGAAGAAGCACTTGAAGCGTTTAAACGCGCCTAAAGCATGGATGTTGGACAAGTTAGGCGGAGTGTATGCTCCCAGGCCTTCAACTGGGCCACACAAACTTCGTGAGTGCCTGCCGCTCGTGATTTTCCTGCGTAATCGATTAAAGTACGCTCTCACCGGCAATGAAGTGCTCAAGATTGTTAAGCAGCGACTTATCAAGGTTGATGGCAAGGTACGAACCGACCCAACCTACCCTGCAGGTTTTATGGGTAAGTCAAAACAGTATTTTATCAAATTCATGAAATAGAAAACTTGGTTGACTATATCTCATTTAAGACTTATTTTAAAATCCTGTAAGTGCTATCTATATATTCATATCATTCTTTAATTATATATTATAACTATAATATCAATATTACATTGATTTCTCTTACATCATGTGCTAATTTTTTACCAAAAATTTCAGATGTTGTTTCAATTGAGAAGACCAATGAGTTGTTCCGATTGATCTATGATGTCAAAGGTCGTTTCACCATCCACAGAATAACTCCAGAGGAAGCCAAGGTTAGATCATAAAGATTTCTTAAAATAATCTAATTACTAAAAAATAACCTAATTACTAAATAATATAAAATAATAACCTGTATACAACTGCAACACTGCTGCATATGCCTGCCTCTGTAGCTAAATGGTTAAACATGTTGCTGTGCCTTAAGTGTGAGATATCCTGGGTTCTAATCAAGGGCAAACAATAAATTTTTTGGTCACAGAAATCTATTTGCCTCATGTGCGGGAAATGAGATTTCACTTTTGTTGCATAAAACAGTAATTTAGATTATCTTTACCATGTTAATTTAATATGGCATTTTAACTACATGTTAAAATTGAGTTATTATGAGTAGAAAGTTTTTTTAAGTATGGATGTTTTTTTTATTGAAATAATATTTGTTATCAGGTATGTTACATAAATTTGTACCATTAATTCTACAGTTAAGGATGTATTTTTTAAAATTAACTTTATTTACTTCTGTAGTTTTATAATCATTATGTTAAATTACATTTAAAGTTCTTCTCCAGAAATATCGGGAGAAGAACTTTATTATATTAGATTAATATTGATAGATATTATAGATTAATAAATCATTGTATTTTTTTTCACTTATTTAATTACTTTTTAATTTTTATTGATAGAAACTGATGATTTTAATGATTTAAGTTTTTATGAATGCAAGTAAATTGAGAAATTGGTGAATTAAAAAAAACCCATGAAAGCATGTATAGTTTGTATACATAAAAACTTTGTGCTAGGTTAGGATATCTTAAAACATATTTTTTTCAAATTTTTATTTTTAAACTTTTAAGTTATTAGGTTATTTCTTTAGTTGTTATTAACTGTTATGTTATTTATGTCACTAGCACACTGATCCAAAGTGGGACTTATCATTTTGTACCCCTTACACATATTGTTATGATATAAATAAGAATACCATTAATAATTCCATTTTTTTTTCAATTACAGTACAAGCTGTGCAAAGTCCGACAGGTAGGCACTGGCCCCAAGGGCGTGCCCTACATTGTGACACACGACGGCCGCACCATCCGCTACCCAGACCCTCTCATTAAGGTGAACGACTCAATCCAGCTGGACATCGCCACCACCAAAATTATGGACTACATTAAGTTCGAGTCCGGCAACCTGTGCATGATCACGGGTGGAAGAAACTTGGGGCGTGTCGGTACTATTGTATCGCGTGAACGTCATCCTGGGTCGTTTGACATTGTCCACATCAAGGATTCAACGGGCCACACTTTTGCCACTAGGTAAGATTATCTGTCATCTTTATAATAGTACTTCTTATTATTAGAGCTTACATTTTATAATGTGATTCAGAATATAATAACGTAAGTGTCAATATTTAACAAACATTGTAACAGTTATTTTGATATATAGATATCAAAATAATTGTTGCAAATCTTCACAACAACTTCCTACTAAAAACTAATAAAATTATTAAGAAAAAGATATGACTAACATTTGTCTCATTATTACTAAGTTTATATGGTCCCAAGCAAACAATTGCCCATCATGTGAACTAACCTTTTATATTATTATACACATTTACAAGTGTAGACCATTTTCATGACACTTGGCTCCGACCCTAGACTATTTATGAGGAACTTAAAGATACCAAATGGAGACTAATAATCATAACGCTCGTTCCAGGATGAACAACGTGTTCATAATCGGCAAGGGCACCAAGGCGTACATCTCGCTGCCCCGAGGCAAGGGCATCCGGCTCACAATCGCCGAGGAGCGCGACAAGAGGATCGCCGCGAAGGTCGCGCAACACTAGGCTAAGACAATAAACTAATACAAAAGACGTTCTCCTTTTCTTTTATGGCCGCACCAGACAATTGTGCCACATCTGTCTACTATGTTTTACTACACTTGCTTAATATTTTTTCACTGTCGCAGCCGGGTCTATACCGTTAAGTTATCCCCCCGTGACTAAGGCTACCGAAACACATCCGAAACATCGGATCTTAGTTAAAATAAGAAAACGAAGATACAACACTTGATGTTTTGTTTTTATTTACATTGTTCAGTACTCGCGTAAACTAATACAAAACTTATGCATAAATAATAATTAATCACGTTTTACAGTTTTATCTTATCGTCCATACAAACGCAGTGGCGATATATTAGAAAAATGTTTTAACATTTTTAATGTACTAATACTAAATTTAAACAGAACATAATTATTTTAATATACAACAAGTGAAATTCTATGGGCTCTCTTGTCTGACAACAAAATCACTAGCTAGGGTTGTATACGCGTGTACGTGTCCTGGATGATGCCGCGTGCAAACGCACATGCTTGTTAAGATTACTCGGATCGGCAAATGCGCGGGCGCAATGCCGACAACGCAACGGTTTATACCCTGTGTGCGTTCGTATATGAATTTTCAGTCCATATTTACGCGAATACATTTTACCGCAATACACGCAGATATGTCCTTCGCGGGCGCGACCCCACGCGGCCGCTATCGTCTCCAACTCGGCTGGACCTGGAGGTAAAGCCCAAGTCTTTATATCCACACCTGGAGAGACGCGGTCCCACGTTGCTGAACTCTTGCGCAGGAGTTTCAATAGTTTTCTCCAAAATAATACAGCGTTGTACTCTCCGCATTTGAGGAATAAATGCACTTTTACCGGGTTTGGATTGTCGAATACAGCGCCGCACTCGTGGCAGGAGTAACTCTTCTTATTACCTACGATAAAAAGCGGACATAAGACAAAATAATCATTATTTCAAGTCAAAAAGTGCGTTGTACAATTATGTAATATATCTACTGTTTTTTTTTTAGGATAATATGATGAAGAAAAGATCAGGTTTAGTTGTTTTTTCCCTTGGGACCAAAGACGTCAACCTTATAACTTTGCTTTGAATATTGGCATATCTACACACAAACTGGAACGCCAATAAATTTCACAGATTTGTGTATAGTGTGGTTACACATGTCCCTACCTGTAATATTCCGCAGTGTTAGGAATGGCATGTCCAGTATCGCCAACGTCGTTTCGTCAAACCAGAGCGTCAACTCGGCATGTGGTGGTGCCTCGTTCACAACTCGAAGTCTTAGGTTCCCATTGACTACTTCAAGTAGCAGTTGTGCAGCTGGTAAAGAAGCAGCAAGTGTAGCCCGTACGGCCGCTCGTGCGCAACCACCGCGGCAAGTCAACTGGCCAGCACTGTCAAGTTCCATGTATACCTGTAGGACAAGACGTCCATCAATCCATTAAACTCACAGACAACGCCAACCTACTCGAAGCTGTTTATATTCCACGGGCAGACTTGTAACTACGAGTAAATAAAAGTTACGACAGACTAAATGGCTTAATCGTAACAATGCATTGCTACGATTGTTCCATCAAGGGGTCCTGGGTTTTATTCTCGCCGGGTCCAACATATTTTTAAACAATATTTTTTCTGAAACATTGCAGTCCACTTGGCATAATTTGATATTATTTGCGTTGTGTGGAGATTCCGTCCGTGTCTCGAACTACCGTCCAAGTTTCCGAATATCCAAATCTAAAAGGTCGACAGCGCATCTTATCATGTTATGGTAGTGTATTTCACCTTCCATCAAGTGGACCCTATGTCTGTACTCCTCTGTCAATACAATCGCTTCTTACGTGTAAAAAAAAGGCTGTACATATTTCGAGATATGAGCACGCACTGAATTGGTATGGTATCGGCACCTAACGCTGATATAGGATGCAATTTGTACTGAAGAAAAAAAATCACAACTCACATTTTCCGGTGTGTGAAGAGTATCCATCGCAGACTCTAGTTCCTCGAAGGTGAAGCAAGCTGAACAGCAATCCCTCTGCACACCACGGCGTGCAACCACCACGCGACCCGACATGCTCGTGCGCAGGTGAGGACTGTTATTCCATCCGGCTCACTTGTCGTTATATAGAAGCGAGGGCGGAGGGCCGAGGGCTGAACAAATCGGCGAAACACCCTCCGCAAATCTCTCCGCAATTAAACAATTGTTATTGAATTACACGTGGTGGTTCGCACCCGGCGCCACCCTCTGCACTTGCCGATTAACTAATGCACCCATCACATCATCCGGCGCTGGTCACTTGTCGCTATTCCATACTTTTGCCCAAACCCCAAAATTTTCTATATCAGAGTACCAACAAAAAGAACAAATTCAGTCATTGAAATAAAATACTTTATTTATATGACGCTTTCAAACGCTAAATATATTGGTTAAACTGTGTACAAATTGTACATAAGTTTAACTAATACATACCGTGTTTTAAAGCGTCAAAAAACGTTTTATTTACCTGTGTACTACACGCATAAACTACAGACAGTATCCAAATTGTCAGTTGGTACGAATAAATGTATCTAGTACACGCATTAAGCGCATTTCATGTTTCTTAAGTGAAATAAATCATTTGATTTTACACTATTTATTTTAATATAATCATAAACATCTAAACGTAACACAAGTACAAAACAATCTAGGTAATCAGGACAAAACACATTAGTATAAACAACAAATATTTTTTAACGAGACAATGCAATATAATTTAATAATTAAGAATTTGGTGTAAAAAACAAATTTGCTTTTCACGTACTAAACAAAACAATGATAACACTCGTAATGCATACTTAAATCAATTTCAAGGTAAAATTGTTTTAATAAGAAATGTAATAAAAATCTACGTCGCAAACATCCAAGTTTTATAAGTTAGAAGGTTTATAAAACAATTATATACTTCTTCAACTTGTCATCAAAAATATTTTTTAACTGAAAGCAGAACATTTATACAATTAGGTTAGATATTGTTGATGGCTAAAGTCGGACGTTTGCAAATTTTTCCCGATTAAACAAATTCTGTGAACTAAATATTAATGAAACATTATTTGAAAACTTTATTATTTTTTACACGTTATTGCACATGGAGGCACTATACAATTTAAAAATCAACAATTTTCGACTCGGGCAGGATTTGACCAATTAGGACTCGGTAGCTAAATTGATAGAGCAACAGCACGTCCTGCCCGAGTCGAAAATTTTTTCAAGTAACATTATTTTCTAGAAATATTAAATTGTTATTATATTATATTCCTTACCTCTCAATTTTCTCGCTACATACATAGGGTTAGATAAAATTACAAACTGAAATTCATATAATTTTCAGGACGAACGGATGAAAAATTCTCAAAATGAAGTTTCTCAGAATATCCAGAGCCAAAATAATTACATTATAGGTCTGTCCTCTTCCATCATTAAAAAAAGTAGTATTGTAGTAATTTCAAAGCGTTTACGATTAGTTTCCAATTTCCATAGCTACATGCTACGACGCCGCTACGGGCTACAGCGTAGGCTACACAGTGCTACGAAAATTCGTAGAGTATTTACAAAAACTACGCGTCTTTTCTTTTTACACTTAAATCAGCAATTGTATTAATAAATAAAAGATTTTTCTCGTTAAATTAGTTTTGTAGTTATACAGTTATGTTGAAGTCCATTTTATTTCCTCTGAGAATGTACTGTAACGATGTATTTAGAAATGTAAGTAATTGTATTTTTTTTTTAATTACGGGCTACAAAGATAAAATAGTAGCACGATCGGCGACTTCATAAGGCCAACTTGGTGAATTGTTAGTCTACAAAAGCGTACACTGTCGAAACCGAGAATACATTATAACAACACTATGTCAGTACTTAACACTAAAAATTTTATTCCTTGAGCAACACTTAACTTATTGATTGGCCTAAAGTCTATATAGTAAAGGTCGAAATTAATAATTATTCTCCCACGTCGTTAAAGAATTTACCGTATGATATGCACAGTCAACTGCAATGTTGGTGTAGAGTTATCACGAAGTCAGTAAAATCACTGCGGTGGATCTTCATGTACTGCGGAAAAAATCATCATATTATATATTATATTAATACACCAATAGTAAATAACAATGTATTTACATCAATTTTCCAATGAACATTTTACATAAAAGGTTTACATACATCTAGGATCGTTTCGCTTAAGTAGATAATTTACTTGAAACAATACAACACGTCTTTAATCATGCCAGCCATTGGGCAGGAACACCTTAATATAAAACAAGGAAGCGCACTACAAACTAAACCAGAGATACTGTCTAAATTTACGGGAGAGTACACATTTAAATAAAACACTTTAACGGTTTAAAACGGATCCGACGGATATTTCGGATGCTTTGCAGCAGCCGTGTCACGGCTGATGCAAAGCATCGGAAACGTCGGGCCGAAGGTTAAAAATAATTTTCAAATAAGTTTAACTAATATATCGCGTTTTAAACCGTTAAAGTGTTTTATTTAAATAAACCAGAGATGTCATAGAAGCGAAAGGCTTTTTTCTCTTCCTTCTATATTTTTTAGACAAATACCTTACCTTTAAAAATAAATTCGCAATACTTAAATAGCAAATATTAAATTTAAAATGTGCGTAAAAATTGAGCAGTCGAAAGTTAGAATTTGCATCAAACAAATCCAAAAATGAGACCGAGTCAGATCTTTGGTACATATATATGTAGGGAGTTTAATTTAAATTTGTTTTTAATATAATTGATTCCTAAATGTGCATTTAATACCGCGACAAAGTGATATTGATACTAGCAAACAGTCAGCTTTCACAAACAATACTTCGAGACATGTATGCTGTAATTAATATTAATACAAAATTTGCAACTGTAAAGTCAATCTTAAAAAATTTACCAGGTAACTTTTGCAAATTAAATTTAATATTCATTGATGTAGGAGACACAGTGGTAGGGCCAATCACGACGTGCCATTATATTTTTTTTGAATATCTTTTTATAGGCTATTTATACAATAACACATGTTATCAAATAAATAAACATGAAAATAATAAAATAAAATAAAATAATCGAAATTTAAAGCCTTAATTTTTGCACATATGTATAGAAGTGCATGTTGACGAAACATACCATTATATTAATTTACATTTAATCGTTAGTCTGAATTAATATTTATTTTTTAATTTAAAATATCGGACTTCAACAATTAAGTCGTGCCAATCTAGCTACAATATCTAAACTTATTTTAATTCACTTCTAAACGGTTACATTAAGCTCTTTACAATATTATTGTATTGTTCGGAGGCGAGGCGAGCGAGGCAGCTGCACAAACAGTCTCTCTGCAAATGCCTCTAGACCATAACTCCATGGAATAAGGTCTTTATTAACATTTTGTTCATAAGTCCGTCTCTTCCGCGATATAGCACAGATATTTTTGATCTTCGAATGTGTCAGGAGTGTCGAGTGTCGGGGGTGTGTGTTGGTAATGGTGTTTGCCAATATTTTTTTAAAGCACATACTATTTGACCACTATAGAAGCAAAAAGTACGAAACAAAACTATTTCTTATTGAGAGCTGCATTGCTTTAATAAAATTTACGTTCAAAGGGGAAAAATCTTATTATATATTAATAAAAAGTATCTAAGTTGTGCCAATAAGTAGTACTTATTATTATACGACCTACACTTTGTAACTAAAACTGCCCAGCCGTTTGTCCATTAATGATTTAAACTTATAAGCGAAGTGCATTTGATGATTATATTAGCAAAGTGGCACTGCTATCGCTTTACAATCAGCACGTGCCACTAATCCGCAACGTATTGTATATGTCTGCGCGCGCGCAGTCATTTCTATGACGTCAAAACACAACCCTCCGCCAGACGTCACACGTGCACGGCCACTATTAAATAAACGCCTTATCTGATTGTCTTATCTTTAGATTTATCTTATTAACAATTAACATTTTGACCGCTTCTGTGGCTTACTTGTTTGTGCATAGCGTATACAGTATACATGTGGGGTACAAATCTAACCCTTAATGTTCTTAAACATAGGTTAGGTACTTTTAAAATCACACTGTGCTATATTAAGAGAAACGTATAAACATTATAGTATCTCCTTCATAAAAATATAAGACTAATAGTGGCAAGTTTGAAATTTCATTTATAACCCAAGCGGGATTAGTTTATTTGACGAGCCTTCTATCGTCTGTATTCTTAAATATTGTAAATATGTATTTGGCTAAAACATCTAAACCGTGTGGTTTAAACGATTATCTAAGTCGGGTATTGAATAACGCATTAACGATTCGCAAGTGTGATTCAAAATAGCGGGCATAATAGGCTATTGTCGAATAAATATTATAGAATGACACAAGAGAACAAGTGTGGCGCACGTGTGGCCACTAAGCCGAACGCGGGTTACGACAATTACAACGCAATCATACCGTATCGACCAAAGTAATAGCTAAAATATTGTGTTGCGACATAAACCTAACTAAACTTGACAGGTGAAAAATGGAGAAATACAAAAGATCATAATATGGAAATATCACTCGAAATATTACTTTTTACACATTGACCTAAATAACTAAGGCAATTTTATAAAAATTATTTCAAATTTTATTGTAACTACGACTCGATGCCGTCGTTTGCAGCGACAGTTGTTCGCTCGTGACCACGGCTGCTACAAAGCATCGGAAACGTTGGGCCGTAGTTAAATAAAACTATAAATGAGTTTATTTATGAATTTCGGGTTTTATAAATTAATAAATCTGTGTAAAACTATTTACGATATGGGCAGGACTAATTACAGGCTTGTACGAAAAAGTTAAGCTGATTTCATAGTTATTAATATCATTAATAATTGCTTTGCAAGTACATCAAGAGATACACGCTGAACGCATTTTAAAGTCTAATTAAGTTCCTTTTTTAAATGTTTAATTTCCACTTGCTACAAGAAATATTGAAAAATCGCGGAATGATTTATCTCTACACATATTACCTTAGTTTAATTATTTTACAGACTTTTTTTACTATTACAACGTTAATTCCATACTTTGTGTGTAATCATACGATTTATATTTCTATAGGGATGCAGTAAATAGCGTTCGTATATGTCATGGTCCTGCAGTGACACCGCACCACGGCGATTCGTCACACTGCGAGATAGGGCGAGGGTACTCTAATGAACGTATTGAGGTTGCAACAAGTGTGTGTGTCTAATCTTGCGCAGTGTTGTCAGGTTTTAACGCAGCCATAGGATAAAAGCAAGTAGTAATTAAGTACTTGCGGTGTAAGTCGAAGATTCGCTCTATTCGATCTAAGTTCGATAAAAATCTCATATCATTTCGCCCCATTCACTACACCCAGCAATCGAACTCGGGACCTCGTTTAATTAAAACGGCCTCGTTGGCAAACGAGGCCGTTTTAATTAAAATTGGCTGTTTCAATTAAAAATCTATCATCGATAATACTTTTTGTTGCCTGGGAAAAATTTAAAACGAAACTGATCTTTCTCATTAAGCTTGAAAAAGTTAACATTACACAACATTTACAATGTTCGCATGACAATTTTTGATTTGATTCCCGCGATGGGTTGAAATTGCGAGGAAACCAAAAGAATTTACTTCAAATCCTCAATGGCACTCTTATCCCACGACTATAAGTGAAATAGTTACCTTCTTCTTCTTCAGGAGCAAGCTCTGGTGGTGTGATGGAGTCTGGTGGCGTCTCATTTTCGTACTCTCGTTCACCGGCCGCAGCGTACAATTCTGCTCGGGCCTCTGCCACCTCGCGGACTATCTCTGCAACATTTTATTTAAACTTATAGGACACACCTACATAGTACATGAGTGAGAATAGTTATCATCTTTGTCACACATATATCATATAGACATCAAATGAAAGAGACTAAAAGATTCTTTACGTAAATTTCGGTGAGGTGTGCATGCAGGCATGCACTTCTTGAAAGGTGCAATATCCCAGTCATATACTTAGTATTAAGACAAAGTGTGCTGTTTTCCCTATTCACCTGTGACACGGACTGAATTTGAGTACATAATATCAAGATTTTCAGAAGAAGTATGTATGTTTTATATATTTCGCAAATTGATTTTAGAAACTAATAAGTCGAACTTATAACTCGATGCTCGTTCGTTGATTCAGTCACAATATGTTTAGTTGCAGTATTATGGCAAAAAAACAAATGTCGCCTTAATTCTGGATGTCATAAGTTCGCATGTTTGATTAAGGCAATATTTTACCGCTTATAACATCGCGACTCGTTATAATAGACTCGATCTCCTTTGACACCTCTTCCACCAGCCACGGCATGAACTCTTCTTCTACACCTGAAAGTTGGGAGGCTCGATATTATTACTTGCAATAATTTACAAAAATCTGAATCACAGTTATAAAATAATATATAATATTCAATAGGAGACTAAAACAGAATCAGATTTCTTACAATAGTCTCTATGTATTATATAGCTTTCGGTAGTTATTTTAAATATTCGTCGTCGGTCGTTTTAATTGCCCTAAAACAATTATATGTGATGTATACTTTTGACAACATAGTTTACCTCTATGCAGCCGACGCACGAGGTACCCAGCGTCTCGGAGGCCAGCCAGCACTGAAGGCAAGAGTTCCGCCACGTAACCCTGGACCAGGGCACTAGCAGCGACGCGGTGTCTCGCTTCTGTCGCGGAGACTTTCGCACGGCGGGCCTCTGCGACTCGCCGTTGCGCTTCGTGATGCAGCCGCCTGTCTTGTGCTGCTAACCGTTGCCGTTCAGCGAGCTCGGCTGCTCGCAACTCTCTGTATCGACGCTGCTGCTCACGTAGGGTGCTAAGCTCTTCCTCCTGCGCCACTTCGGCTAGGGCCTGTTCAACCGTCTTGCCGACCAGCACTTCGAGTATTGGTTGCACTTCTAGATCGAAGTCGAATAGCTAAAAGGATGGGATTTTTTAAACATATTTTATTTACTGCCTTACTCGAAATTTAATCTTGCTGTAGTTGTAATGTTGGAAAATACACCGTTTAAACTGTGCCTTGACTAGTCTTAATATGTATTTCAAAACGAAAAGTCAAAATCAGACCAGCGGAACTTTAGCCAGACAAACAATTTTTATGTCAATTTTATATTTGAAACATGCACATAGTTCTCTACCTTCCATCCAGACCATCTGAATACAGACTCTCTATCTTAAAAACTTTTCGTTAACATGAAGGATTCAATGATTAAATAAATTCTTACATCTCCCGGGTAGATCTGTGTGGCTGCGTCTGCGCCGGTCTTAGCAGGCACGTAGATCGGCGTGGCCGGTCGGTCGACGAAGAGGTCTGTCTGCACACCCACCTCCATCTCGACGCCTTTGTCGAACAACTAAGAAAGAATTTAAAATGAGTATCACGCCACTAATTTTTTTCTCAGATTAGAGTGAGTCCTCTCTGCATCAGGCCTCGCAGTTGAAACTATGTACACTTCTGTGGCTGTCGTAAAATCTCACCTCCTCGAGGTAGTATTCAGTCTGAATGGGGTGGTGTCTTCGACCTGGTGCAGGCGGTGGGGTGCCAGGTCGCAGCCGAGCCAAAGCAGCACGTCGTGCCAACGCACGTCTGCGTGTGCGCGCCGCTCGCGCCGCCGCACTTTCCGCTCCATCACCCTGATAAGTACATTTTCAATATTAAGAAATTGGTGAACTAACTACAACCAATAAAGAAGCTCAGCGACAAAGTATTGACACGGTAAGCTGATTTTGAATCTTTCTTTAAAACGAATATCCAATAAATAATTTAATTAAATAATGTACCTACCTCATCATTTTGTCATCGTATTATTAGATCGTGCTTGGCAACTGTTAAATGAATTTAAAAGAAATTCAGCATTAATATATACATATTATGTCGCAGTGCTGCCATCGTACACGACGAATCACAACTGTTAACAGTTGATTTGAGTAAGGTCAATATAGTGGCATTAATGTTCGAGAGATAGAAGTGGTCAGTTGTCAATTTGTTATTTTGGCATAACGATGGGAATGGGGCTTTTGATGGGGCATTATGGTTTTAATCATGAAGATGACTAACAAAGGAAATTATTTTTAATTTTATATCGGGTCATGCGACGGTGATAATATCATCATCATATAAATGTAATGAATGCAGTAATAAGAGATAGGCTACTGTAAAGTTAAAGTACTCGAAGGCTGAAAAGAAATGAAATTAAGCGGCGAGTTCATTTATGAACTTGCAGGAAATTTAGAATCGTTTGCTTTTAATGACGTTTATAAGTGTACCTTGTTGTAATTAAGTGTACCAACATGATTAATACGTTTTTTACTTTCACTCATTTGATGTAAAAATACTACTCACAGCTGCATGTGGATGTGCTGCAAAAGTGCTGCCCCGCACCACCCTCTTGTCGTGCATCACGTTGGAGTACTGAGCGCCCGTCGCGCCAGTGGCGGCCGTCGTGACGCTCCCACTGTTGGGAAAGGTTCAAAATAACATAATGTTAAGATGTAATTTGAATCGGCAGTATTATCTGGTAATTTAAAAAAAACGAGGGTAGTTTTAATAAATGATTAGACAACTATGGCAACAGTACATAAATTGAATAAGTACAATGTAGATGTACATATATCGTATGACGTGAAAGGTAACATATTTAATATGATAATTTAATATAATACATAATATTATGAGGACACATATTTGTGTATATCAATAAAACTAGTTTTTTTTCAGTGTGCAACCGCCAAAATTTGTTTTAAGCATACGTTAGGTTAAATAAAACCCAGATATTATGCCAGGCAATTCGGGTTATATTTTTGTTTTAATGAAAGCAGCATTCTTTGCATCACACAACGTTCTCGCTCTATTTAGGTCGGAAAGCCTAAAAAATATCATTATACTTTACTGAAAGCAAAACTTTTATATGTAAATGTTTTTCAAATTATTTCTAACGAAATTAAACATAAAGTAAACTTAACAGACCAACTGTTCTAATGTCAGTTAAACAATTATTCAGTTCAAGCGTAATTTAAGTGGAAAACCCGCTGTATAATTAAAGCTAAGAGGCTTTGAAAGAGTTGAAGAACAATAGGTAAGCCATCTAAGACGATTACTGAAAGCCTATTGTAATTGTACATGAATGCTTAAGTAAGGTACACACTAATAGTATGTGATATGTTATTGTAGATATACTTCTAGCATTTTAACGTTCTCAATAGGCCGACAATTGCCTTTTTTGACGGCACTTGTGCAATACAACTAAGCTTGAAAATAACTCGTTTCTAATATAACTAGCTTATAAAAATGATTTAACTTGTAGAATAAAATAAGCTTTAAATTTTTTGAAAGTTTAAATATTACTATTTAGCATTGACCTTTAAAATAAATCACCAACGGTTCACAACGCGACGTTATGTTCTTATGACGCGTCTATTTCAGTAGATGTTGGACCGAGGAAAACGAATTGGAAAATTCCCAAGTCCAGCTTTGTATCGACGGTATGGAAAGGTAAGATAAGGGTAACAAGGTGATCGACCCCGGTCTCCCCTCACCCCACGGGGGGCTCGCTGACCACCTCGCCCCCTCCCTATATGCCCGCAACCTCACTTACGTGCCGTACCACCGTAAACTCCGTGACACGTTAAATCATTTCTAGGTCAAGCAAACATTGATAAAATTTTGGTGAGTGATTGCTGGTTGTTAGAAGCACCTGAGAGGCTACATCGATGGCAAACACACTTATAAAGAAAACTGGATAAAATAGATCTTGGATAAGTAACATAATATAAAGGAAAAGGAGAGGCTTTTTTTTATTTGATGTCTTTTTTTGCTTCAAAATTAAATGGTTTGTTTTCTTCCAATAAGGTTGATGGTTCATGGACTACCCCCAATAAATATGTCACGGCATGCCGACCTGGCAAACATTATTTTTCCATATGAATTATTTCTACCAAATTTTATTATGATAAAAACGGTTCTTATGAGATAATCTTTAGACAAACCGTCGCGGACGTTTTTTTTTTATTATTGAAAGAAGTATAATACACATCTTTTAGGTATGTTAAACCGTCTTCGCAGCGCAAGCAACAGAAACCCTCAAAGATGAATAACTTCCCCGTTTTTAAACTGTTTTATTTAGCTCACACCGTTTGTTTTTTTATTATTTATTCTTGGGTCAAATTTAGTAATTCCAATTTCGCCCTCTTCCTGTCAACCGATTAATCTGAAATTTTGTTTACACTTTGGATTTTGGTGACAATACAATTATGTTTATTCATTATCATTATAAATCCAAGATGGCGGCCGCTACAAAATGGCGGATAACGTAGGTTAATTTTTTAGTTAGTTAAACGGTTTTATGTTAATTTTTGTTAATTGTAATGTTTAAGATAAATGTACTAAAAACCAAAAAATAATAAAATAGATACAGTCGTGGGAATTATAAACATATGCATAGACTAGACTAAAATAAAACCGTGGGGCACGTCAATTGTCTACAAATTATCGAATTAATGTGCGATAGAAGAATAATTTAATTCGCCGTTAGTTAGACAATTGATTGATATTGGTTAAACTTATTTTAAAATAATTTTACTTAACAGCGGCCCGATGATTCATTTAAATTTGTACGACTCGCGTACACTACATACAGCATTTAAGAAACGTAACTCAAAAAATATAATATATTTAAGATTATGTTGAGATTGAAACCCTCGCGTAATTTCTTAAATCTCAATTATTTAAAGATTTAAATGTATTACAAGTATCAAGGCTGTGTTTAGCATTTAGTAATCTTATTAGCCCCCGCCCTTTGATTCGCCAGCCCAGCACGTGATAGAACCGAGCACGTGGAACATTATCTGCTTACCTGGCAGGGCACCCTCTGGCCGCTCTCGTGACACATCAAACATGTGTGTCAGTGTGTCGTTGTACTTGTAATCGATACTAATAACATTCTTTACTTGAAGATGTTCATTTTAACTAATTATACAGCCATAGAGGTCTTGAAAAAAAAACCTTTATTGCTTCTTTAACAGCAAAGCGGTAGAAAGTATACTTTTGCGAGCGTTTAAAATTTTCCATTAATTTTGAATAATTTTTTTTTATCTAGACCAATTTCAAATGACATTTAGCTAAAAAACAGCTAAGTAACCGCTTCAATAATTTTGGTACTGAAAAACTCGCGTTCCCTAGTAGTAATTTATAGAAGTAAACTAATACAAACTCTGGGTGAAGGCGATTCTCATTCTCTTTCAGCAGTTGCTGCAGTCCGGACACTCCGGCAGCCAGATTTCTCACCCCGTTAAACACGCCTCGCATTCGTTTCGCTTCATTGGGGACTTGGGCCGCGTCTGGGCGATCCGACTTCTCTTTCTTCTCAACTAGCGACCGTTTCGTCCTGTTAGCCACCGGCTTGGGCCGACTTGAGTAAGAGTAGACCAGGTTTTCCCTGCTACGCGGCGTGTATAAGGGATATAGCGTGTTGAGACCTAGGAGACGCGCCAGATCGGGCGGCGGTAGTAGGAATTCCCCACTCTTCACAGTAGTCACGAAGCGGGGCTTATCGGATTCACTGCCTCCGTTAACTTTCCCTCGGACTTTAGTGGGCGACGGCGTTTCGATTTTCGGCAGTATCCTGTGCCGTTCGGCGCCAAGAGTGTCGATCCTGGGATGAGAACGGCTGACATCCTGCGGCCTCATCCCGTCGGTCACGCGGATGTCGGGCTGGGAGGTGTGCGGGTGTGGCCGGCAGCGCGTCGGCCGGCGGAGGTTGGCAGCGAGGGTCTCCTTCTCCTTGAGCCGGCGCAACTTGTAGTCCAGGGCTCGCGAGAACTTCGGGTCGAGGATCGACTGCGCGTTATCGGGCGCCGGAGGCACATGGCGTTCTAGCGGCTTCACAACGTTCACGTTACGTATAGGCACCGACATATCAGCGCCCGCCTGGTTGATAACGGTAAACGCATTCGATACATTGCCCTCGATGTTGACTAGGGGCATGCTGCCGACTCAACTGCTCTGAGTCATAGCGGCCGCTTCGCCGACGGTCAGCGCATACTGGTCACCGCTGGACGGGTGCCGTCGTGTACCCCGGGTCACTTACGACGTTTTTCACTGCGCCAAGTGAAATCGCGCAAGCGCTAATTTAAGACTCGCGAGAATAATATTAGCTTTATTATTAGAAATGTTTAATTTACAATAACTCTACTTAAGTGTTTCACGAATAATAAGTACCACAGTTGCAGTTAATGATCGTGACGATTTAACCTTTTAGCACGGGCTAATTAATTAAGTACAATATAAAGTATTCCAGTATTAAAATATTTATTATTTTATTGAACTACCCCCCAACTACAACGAAGTAACAAATACAATTAAAATACTTCTCTTGACAAAATCGTTCTAGCACCGATGTATCTTAGTACGGTATCAAAACAAAACCATGAATTAACGTTTGTAACACATTTAAAACGAAGTGTGCAGTTTGCGAGTTTAATTTCTTTATTAGATATATATAATTTCTTTTAGTTGTTTTCTGTTCCATAATCTTTTCAAATACCTTTTTCGTTCTATTATATGACAACTTTTACCGAACAATAATTACACAATTTATTTTTTATATAAAATCCATTATTATATTCACCTAATGCTCCGAAGCAAGCCATATTGGTTTAGAAAACCTTCAACCTTTAAAAGCCATAGAGCTGGGCCATATAATTAAATATTATTTAGCTATACGTAAAAATGTCGGTCATTCGTTATCTTGATAAAGACATTGCGTGAATTGGTAGGATTAACGTTTTCTGGTAAGGGTCAAGTGTTGTCGAGCGGAAGTGGTCGGTTGCCGTGGTTACGTCACTTGGTACGTGGTTCGTCTGGTAATCTGGCTATTCTACGGGCCGGGCGGTAGGAATATTGTAACTTCGTCCGGGTTACGAACCACAATTCACAGACGAAATAGCCGTGAATGTTAACCGCGTTTTGGATTTAGTCTGTGGACTTAGCCTGCTGTTTAGGGAAAAGTACTTTAATTTTTGTTTACGTAGTTTGTTCCCCCGTGACCACAGTTGCCGTAAAACATTCGAAATGTCGAGGTGTAGTTAAAAATAAGAACCCATTTTATCTGACTAAATTAAGCAACATCTTAAACGACATACAAATATATTTTTAAGTTCATTCATTAAAAGTTACATCTAAGAATCCAAAGCAAATTACGAATCAAGTTAAAATATCTTCAAATTAATTAATGTAAATATAGTTCAATGATTGTTGTACATTTAAGATTAATATTTTTACTAAAGGTGTACCGAAATTCGGTTACCAATCGGTTTCAGTGTTTATTAATTATTATAATTTAATTATTATAGGTTAGTTTTACTTTATAAAATATTACTTATGTAATTTTTTATAATAATAGATGAGGACAGACAAGCAAGAGGTTTACTTGATGTTAGATGAAATACCCCAGCCAGTAGCATCTAAATAATGCTTTGATGTGCTGTCGACCTATTTTGGCTTTCGATATTGCAACCGAAACGCGATTAAACTTCATGGCTTTTTCATCCTTCATTCATTCTTTTTCAGCCACAGATATCGAGACTCGGACTTAATCTCGAAATTCCTACCACCCATTTAATATCTTCATTTCCAGACGAAGTCCAACATGTTTCAGAAAAAATATAAATTCATTAGAATAATCTTAAACCCGGTCGAAGCCACGAACAGTTGAGTCCGCCAAAAACTTGTAAACGCAAAGCTATTGTAAAATAAGTATATATTTTGCTAAGCTGCTGCTTAAGCTGTCATGAAAGAAAATAGGTCTATACGAAAAATAACCCTACAGGATATGACTAAGGTATAATTCGGGAATACCTAGAAAACTCTAATAAATATATCACGCAAATAATCTAATGGGTTTTATAGCGAAAATTAGCCGATGACGTAAAACAGCAAGTAGCGCTTAGACGGTGAAAACGCGTAAAACGAGCCTTTTAGATATTCATGTAGATAAGAAATTCGGTGGTTAATAAGTAGCCATTCGCCAGCCACCTTCACCTTGATGAAGGACGGCAGGTTGGTAAGTGGCGGACAAAATTTCGTCTAAGGGAAATAAACGTATATTGAACTTCGGTCTGTAGTTCGGTCGGTTTAATCAAATACTGAGATATTAAATACTGTCTGTAGTACACATTTAAATAAATCACTTTAACAGTTTAAACGTGATATATATTAGTTTAACTTGTTTGCCCCGACGTTTCGGATACTTTGCAGCAGCCGGGACTAAAGTCGGAGGGTGTCTCTGACGTCAAAGTAAAAAACTGCTACGCTACCGCCATCCGTTCTGTCGAATACCAACTTCGTAACGTCGAGCCGTAGTTAAAATAATTTTCTAACAAGCTTAACTAATATAAATCGCGTTCTAAACCGTTAAAGTGTTTTATTAAATTAAATGCTTAGATGTTGTTAACTAATTAACGAGACAGCAACTAAAGCTCGGTGTCAATGCGTTTATTCCTTTACGTGTAATCTCATGAGCAAAATAAAGCTTATCAGCGATCCAGTCCGAGACTGAAGTACACCACTTTCCACCTACCCTCACACCACCCCACCACATCGCTTCATAACGCGATATTACGTGCAGACTGCAGGCGAGACAGTTCAAGGATTTATAAAAATGAAAGTGATCTTAATCTGTTTCGTTAGCATTTTAATTGATAAACGTCTGTGGATTTTAATATAGTCGATAATTCAATCAATAAGTATTTACCGTTAATTTCATGAATTTTACGAGTTTATACAACAAAATTAACAAATAATAATATGTGAATCTGTGAAACTACTATTAAACTGCTTATATTAAATTGTTTACAGGTAAGCAATAATATGTAAGACACTTACTTTATATAACACCAATGCGGGGGTAGGAATTTAAGTTTTAAGAAAACAACAAAATATAATATCGAGTACAAAACCCGGGATATTCAGTTATGAATTTAAGTACTTTAACTGTAAATACCTTTGTTTTCAATAAGAAATCGGAACTTACACAGTACCTACTTAAAGCTAGGATTAATTTTAATAATTTAAATAAAGAACTTTAACGGTTAAAAACGTGATATATTTTAAGTATACTTGTTTGAATATTATTTTTAACTACGGCCCGACTTTTCGGACAGTCTCCCTGTGAACACGGCTGCTGTAAAGCATCTGAAACGTCGGGCCTTAGTTAAAAATAATATTCAAACAAGTTTAACTAAAATACATCGCGTTTTAAACCGTTAAAGTGTTTTATTTAAATCGCGTAAACTACGGACAGTATATGATTTTAATCAGTCACTTAAACAGTATGTACTAACGTTTTGATCTAATCTAATAAATTATAATTAATCTAGTCAGTACTTACCAGGAGGGGTTTCTCCGCAGTTTGGCATTGTGGTACAGAGCCCTCGGCTGGCTAGCAAACGTGTAGGGCCCCTTTTGCTTGGCCGGCGTCGGGGCCTCCACCAGCACCGAGCGAACTGACACGCTCATCCACGCGTCGGCAGGCGCTTCTTAGCGCGCGCTCAGCAGCCCCGAAACACTGTTCCACTGCTGACAACACTAAGCAACACATAACCAAACAACAGCCAACACACTGACAAGGACGCTGTCACTTTTCGAAAAAAGAATTGCATGACGTTCGTTATGTATCGTTAACTCCTTGGTTGTGAACTTAAAATTGACGGTCAGGTCTCGTTAATTAGAATTGCTATGAACCTTATGCAAAAAGTTACAATATACATATTTATATTCTAAACACTTTAAAAGTATGTGAGTATACATGTCTTCGCAGTTCACAAAATCACAAAGCAAGGGCAGTAAACTTTAGCAATATATAAACAGATGTCTGTTGCCATGGCAACTGGTACACGCATTTCCGGCCTTCTATGCTAATAATCTAGAGATAAACAAAAAGTAAACACACAGATAATATTTTGGTAAGGTAGAATGATCACTAAGTGTGATCTTATTATTAATGTGTATTATATATCAATAGCTTTATTAAGCTTATTTGGTTCGAAGGTATGATCGTTTTAGTTTATGACAATGACTGAAATTGCACTGTTTATTTTAAAAATACATTAATTTAAATCGTTGTTTTCTTTATTAGATTTATTTGTGTTATTTTTTATTTTATAATTAATACAAGACAAATATTATATATGTAAGACTAGGTAAAATATAATATTAAAAAAATTATAAGTACACAAAAATCAATTCATTTTAATTTGATTACACTGCCATCTAGAATAAATGTGAATGAACTTTATAGTGTTAAATTCTCAATCGCCCGTGAAATTAAAATACACTGCTGATTCCCATTTATTATGATAGATGGCAGTTAAGTAAAATTAATATGATATGAAAAATATGTTCTGTTTATGTCAAACAACGTAATTATGGCTAAATTAATTACTTTTAATTTTATTGCTTTTGATCGCATTATAGTTATACTTAAAGAAGGAATAATGAAGATTTGATTGGCATTTTTATCTTATATGTTACTCTTCACTTATTTAGTACGAAAAATCTTAGCTAACACTTTTGTAGTGCATTCTACCCATAGTTTCACTGATATGAGACTTTTATAAAGTGTCACTCCTATATCAGATAGAAGAATTTAAAGTAAATACAAAGCGAAAGTCATAAATAACACGAAGAGATAGTGAGTTCTGCCCTCTTTAGAGTCATTCTACTGTGAGCTCGCATTTCCTGGCCACTGCCCCCCGCGCCGTGACCAATCCGAATGAAGACGTCATAAAGTAATGACGACATTATTTTCCTACATCATTATAATGTTATATTTGACAACCCTCCGAGGACTTCGTTAGGAAACGGAGGGTGCGAAATGACGTAAGCGACACGCGATTGTAGTCGACATGCAACCTTATTGCAGGGTAGGAAAGATCAATTTAGCTCGTAGGTCAGGTTCAGACAGCAGGGTTGGTAAGTCACAGCAATAAATATAGCGAAGCTTTCAGCGAAAACTTAATGATCTGTGCTTAATGCGCTTGAAACATAACTTCCGGAGTGTTTTGTCGTAAAAAACTCGCTCTCGCGGAAGCCGCCACGTGCCTCCGACATTACAGATAAAGAGAAGAACTCTTACCAAACATTGCTTTTTAGGAAATTATTACGGACAATAGAGCAATGAGACGATAAATTGTAATGGATTCGTTCGTATATTTGTGCTAATACTCTGTAAGGCCTTTTATTGGAAGTAAAATGTAGCGTATCTAATGTTGTAAATATTTACTACTTAATAATACTTACGAAATCGGGCGTTTTAAGATAAGTTAGAAATAGTCCTGTCAAATTAGTTCTTAAAATTGAGGTGAAGTTACATTAATTTCCCATAGAGTTAAAAATTGTGTCAATAAGACTTCTAATTCCTACGAATTTTTCCCTCTATGGTAATTATGGTAAGTCTAATTATGGTAAGTGACTAGACCTAAAATAGGTTTAGGTTAATTTTTAGGTAATTAAGCAAAAATTACAATTCCCGTTCTAGATTCACAAGTCTACAATTCCTTTTCAGTGATCAAACTAATTTTTACTTAAATCAAAATTTTAAAAGTAAAGTCGGGTGTTGTTCCTAATTTAAAACACACGAAGTCGGTTCGGAAGAACGGAGACAGTGAAAAACTATTGCTAATGAAAGACAATGAATTAAACATGAAGAGTCGCTGAAAGCTGTTTCGAGTCGTCGCCGCCGAACAAAAAGTCTCCAAACAGTTTTGACAATTGCCGGACACTAAGCAGACCAGAAATAAATTAATACTAAGTACCTTAAGAACCTTTGCCTTCCTTTTGTAAATCGTATGAGAACACGTCTTTGCAGATTCGTTAAGACTCGTTTTAAACCAAAATTCACCTTCACGTTTTTTCTCAAGCATTTACTTGGTAAATGAATGGTGAAACAAGATTCTTATAATTTTAATTGCACAAGGGTTAATAAAAATAATGTTAATACAAATTGGTCAGTGAAGCGGACCCATCATAGAGAACGGTCCACATAACAAATATTTATATAATACTATTTTAAACCGCGAATGTATTTCGTGTTTATATTTCGAACTAGTTTAAACGCATTTTATCAAAATAATAAATTTTAAACCCTGCGTTTTGGGCACAGCCGTTGTTTTGTGTAAAATATTAAGCAAAACCCACAAAGACAGAAAAATATAATAAAGACAGATACATAGATAAACGTATAGGTCGTTTGTTGACTTGAAGGAATAATTTTTACCAGTATAAAGGCACCTGCTAGCGAAGAAAACTTTAAATAAATTCTAGTATCTCGTCTAACCGTATTTAATGCATGACAAGAACGTAATTAAAACATACAATAATTATGCAGATTAATTGCAAAAATGTATGTGTCTTAATACAACTTAAAAAACGTATTTAAACATAAGTAAAAAGACGTCAAAAGTAGTTAAATTAACATAAGATCTATATACAGCTTTAAAGATTACAAGTTTAAGTACATAACTGGACTTTACATTTATTACCGTAGATGTGAATCATTACTCACAGAAAAATAACTAAAAGTATAAATATTCAGTAGAAGCCATGTATAGGAAAATAATAAGTAAGGGGTCATGGATTCGATTCCCACCGGGCACGTTAGTAATTAATTTTTCCACCTTTCTTCACAAATTTGAAAATCTCGATAGTGTAAAATAATGTTTAATAAAATATAATAATACTAAATGAAAAACTACGATTTTTTAAAGTCCCATCGATTTCTGGTCTGGTCTGGTCTGGTCTGTGATTACCGTAGCCTGATTTCCTTGTAATTCAAAATCATTAAATCGGTTCACAAAACGACGAGGTGATCCGCAAACAAACATAAAACAAGGATATCATACGAATTGAATCGAGAAACCTTTTTTAATCCCTAACACAGATATAATATAATACTTACATTGTCCACGGACGAAAAACCATTAGATGTAAAGTCACGTTTTGATTTCAATTTGTAGATTTCGGAATGTCATAAGTATGTCGACCTATTTAGCCGGTCGACACTGCCTCATTATTAGATATCACTGAGCTATGGTGTTTCTGATTTCAAACATACCCATGCATGCAAGCATGCATGTCCCTCCTCTGTTACAAAATGGGTGCATAAAAAAACCATTAAAAAAGGTGACACCAATCCTTAATTTATATATTTTAAGTTAAGAATGTCAAATGAAAACCCATAAACTACCCAAAACATACAAAAAATAAAAATGCTTATAAAAGGCCATGATAAGTCCGTACCGGTGATCTGCGCGGACGCGGGGTCATGTGGAAAACCTCCGTTTGTCATCTGTCAATCAATTCAAATGCATGCTAATGTGTCACGCGGCTCCACGTGATGCTGTGGAGCACAGTCTATCTGATTATACACCTAACACCTGGTTTGTTGTTTATATTGAGGCTAAGTCCGAGTGGGACTCATGCACAAAAAATTATATACTAGGTCCATCAGATCTTATTTTTATCCTTTTGTGATATTGGAGGGCAGATATGCTTATCATGTCCACAAAATGCGCTATCGGCCTATTTGGCTTTGGATATCTGGAATTGATATAGGCCAACTATTGCGTTTGTTCAGTCTGCTTATAGACGAACCCCTAACCTACCTTTTAGTTTAGATTTTTTACACTCTGACGTGGACTCGCTGTTGTCATGGGTTTTAGCGATACAATAATATTCAACGGGTCATATGTTGAATTCCCCCAAACATAAAATGATGTGAAGTGTAATGGCTTAAATTTCAGTTTTAATCTGTGGCTTCGTAAATATTCTAAGTCAAAATAGGTCTCAAGCGCACCTGGGTAGATGTTATGCGGCTAGGAAATATCACTTTTCATCAAAGAAACCCCTGGTCAACTGCTGCTGTTAAAAACAAAATTAAATAAATAAACTACATTTAATAAAGATTAGACGTTAAAAAACTTCACACTTCTAATATAAGCGGGACGCGTATTATTAATAGCCAATAATAAAGGCGTAACAAAAAATATGAAGGATCCTTGGACCTCGTCAGACAATGCTTCAGTAAAAACCACCCCGCGACAGTGGTCCCAGCGCTTTGTTAACTAAGCATTATTAAAATAGGCGGCGCAGGTGTTTCTGTTTGTTGAAACCGTCTTTAAAATATATGATTAGGCTTCAAAATGCAACACTTTTCACGGTTCAAAACGAAGTAACAATTTACTTAAATACATTTTAGATTCGAGGACCCGACTTATTTTCCAGTCATAGTTAAAATAGATAAAAATATCGTGTTTTATTTCAATTTGTCCTACTCGCTCAAACTAATATATAAATATTTTACTAGGCCCGTATGTAGGTAATCCCTATGTTTCTCGATTAAATATTTTTTTGTCTGTAGACGTCTGAAATGACTCTCTGTGAGTTTACACGTCTCGGACAATGATTTTTAATTATTTATAACATTTTTTTTATAAATTTATATATTTATTGGTCTGTCA